GTCGACAGACCGTCTACAGGAGACTACGGCAGTATGGTATCCGGCCACGTCATCCCTACCGCGGACCGCTCCTGACGCCTCGACACCGGAACAACAGACTGATCTGGGCCAGGCGAGTTCGACGTTGGCAACGGCGGGACTGGGCACGTGTTATGTTCTCTGATGAGAGCAGATTCCTCATCTTCAGAAACGATGGACGGCAGCTTGTATACCGACGATTTGGTGAACGTTTTGCGCCTAACTGTATCCAACAGGTCCGGCCGTTTGGAGGTGGAGGGTAAATGGTTTGGGGTGGCATATGTGGTGACGTCAAAACGATGCTTGTCGTATTTCGTGGAAACCTGAATGCACAGCGTTATCTTGATGACATCCTACGGCCTGTTGTGGTGCCCTTTATTCAGCAACAGCCTCGTGGACTCCTTTTCCAACATGACAGTGCAAGGCCACACACAGCAAGATTGACACATAACTTCCTTGCCAACGCCAACGTACAGGTTTTGCCATGGCCCACATGTTCACCGGACATGAATCCCATCGAGCACTTATGGGACCACCTCGATCGGCAAATCCGACGTCGCCGTGTGCCTACAGTCAACGTCCAGGACTTGGAACGATGTCTCCTCGAGGAATGGCAACGCATCACTCCCAACGTCATCAGACGTTTGACGTCATCAGTCCGTAGGCGTGTTCTGGCATGTATTGATGCTCACGGTGGACATGCCCGCTACTGACTTGACTTTGAGACGTGTGGTGTGACATTTCCCGTTGTTTCTGGGATCAGTGCTCTAACGAAATGTTCATTTTTCGACCCCACCCATCTTTAAAGGCTTGTCATATTGGTTGTACAGATTTTATTGAAATGAAATTTATGTACAGATGTTGTGAAAGGATTTCTCAAAAGCATAAAACCAATCCTAAACTTCTGCATTGTTTAGTTTTTCCTTCATGTCGTTGCAAACAGGTGGTAACTTTTCTTTTGGACACTAGTTTATTAGACAGTTCGGAAGGTTCGTTTTATTAGTTTTCCAAAATTTTATCGAGAACTGTGTCAACAAATTTAACAAGCGTTGTCTGAAATGGAAGTCGCCAGGTTACGAGTGCCGTATAGCTCGAGAAAGCTGCTTTCTAACTGGCTGATGTTGACTTCTCGCTTGTAATTTCAGTGGTCGGTCAAAGCTCGCAAAAGGTCGTTCTGACCCGTAATTGGATGTCCTCAGATCTTTGTTTAGCGGCAGCTAACTTAGATCTGATTTTTTGAGATTGCAGTATTTGTGATTGGAAGGTGTCGTCTACATCGTGTTGAACGTGACAGGGCTATTGACATGCTATAAACTGATAGACCTCCGCGAGAGGTAGCACATATACCCAAAGAAAAAGGTTAAACACATCCCAATATTTGTAACAGTCATGAAAGATATAATTACGGGAAGAACTGTTTTCTCAAGATGATGTAATCAGTCATGCGTGACGAAAGCCAGGCATGGTATGCCCTCGAGTATCTTTCAAAGCAGTATATCCAAACGTTAAAATTGCTTTCTTAAGCTCGCTGTTAAACAGTTCTCCCAGGACATTGTGTGACCATTAGACGAAGGCGTTTATCAAACGCCACAAAATGGCAAAAATTCGGCATGCATAACGCAGGAATGGCTTGTAATGACATTGGTCGGAATTTGGAGTATCATCACACTGTCGTAAGCCGTTTAGTCCAGAAACATGCTCCGACCGGTGATGTACAGGACCGTTCCAGATCCGGAACACCTCCTGTGACGACACATCGCGAAGGCCTTCTACGTCTCATACGTCGAGAACCCTTTTTAGCAAGTACTCGTCTGAAACAGCTGTGGATGCCCAATCGCCGTTTCAGCACCAGAACCGTCAGGAACCGGCCAAAGAAGCAGTAGGACTGAGGGCTAGACGAGTCATAAAGCGTCCCTTGATGAGAGATCACCATAAAGCTGCTCGTTTGGCATGGTGTATTGCGCGACAGAACTGAAATCTGAGAACTTGGAGAAGGATCCACTAGTGGCCATACGAAAGTCGTTTTCTGCTCCACGTCACTGATGGAAGAACGAGAGGAACATTAAACAGACTGTTGTATACGGCGGGGGCACGGTAATGTTTTGGGGGTGTATCTCTCATGATTGCAGGTTGGATTTGGTCACCATAAGGGGCAACTTAGCCCCTGTTGAGAGTACATCCAGGACGTTTTGAGGCCAGTCGTCGTTCCTCATTTTAACCACCACCCTCTTTGCTACTCGTCAGTACATGGGTGACAATGCCAGGCCTCATTGTTCGCATGCAGTCGCATCCAGGCCCATCAACAGATCCAACGTCTGAACTGGAGGCGCGAGACATAGGGTGGAATGCGTCACCCGATTATGCCCGCTTACTTTAAGGAACATTTTCACATGAAACATCAAACATAACTCGTTTACTTAATCCTGCAACTCCATACATTTTTAGGTATTGTCTAAGGCCAAAGACAGTACCTGTGTTACCATTCTGTGTTTTTGTCATGGTTCAGAAATAGGGGTGTGCTTAACTCTTTCTGTATATGTTCAACGTACAGTCTGTGATTTGTAGACTTCGGAACGTGTTTCTGCAGTCACAGAAGTTAAGGATCAACCCAGCACAGGGTACAGGATCGATTCATGATAAACCAGACTTTTAGAAAACAAGCCTAAACAGCCAATTAAATCGCCCCCGGAGTTCAAGATACGTGTACGCCGACGTGAAAGGCCACACCGGGGCGGTCGTGTAGCCTAGAGGTTAAAGACCTGAGTTCGATTCCTGACATGGGTACAATGTGTCAAGCCCATTTCTGGTGTATGCAGCCGTGATATTGCTGGAATATTGCTTAAAGCGGCGTAAGACCATACTCACTCACTCACTCAAAGGCCACCCATAATGTTCGCCGAAATGAGCCAGGCGCTGCAAGATGAGAGGGCAAGACTGCCTCAAACAGGCGTTAAACCCAACTCACTCATAAGTGGTGGAGCATCCGCGCGGAAAGCGGAAGGTCCGGGGTTCAATCCCCGGCCGCGTCATACCTAAAGACGTTAACTGAAATAGGGTGAGGGGTCCCGGCCTTAAACTGTATATTCGATCATGTAAAATTAATTGATATAACGAACACGCTTATAACGGATATAACGAGTATATATGAAATTACAATAATTGAATATGACATTTCAAAGTGTTTTACATTTCCTTTTTAATTTCATCTCTAAAGGTAAGAAATACAACACATGGCACTGCATTTGTCATTATCCTGTATGAAAAAAAATTCATGTAAACAGGTGATTTTTAAAGTTCCTAAATTATTATGACAAAATCTACGTATGATATGATATTAAACATTGATTATAATCATCTGTCGTGTACTTCATTGCCTGAAAACCTACGGAAGAATACGCAAGATTAACATCATGATTAAAACTATAAACTGTAAAACTGTGAACTGTTATTCCCCCCGAACGACATATCAAAGAAAATACCAAGTATGTGCATAATATTTAGGACATTCTTGATTTCTCTATATAATTTACTGAAAAACACAATTGATCATTTTATTTTTATTTTCTGAGTAAATATCGAATAATTAGATTTTAAATTGTTCACTGAAACATATCAAAATTAGCAAATTACGATGTACCAAATGATAAGTGATCGTTTTCAGTATTTTATTTTTTTTCAAAAAATGAAAGCGGACAATATTAAAGCATTTAATTATTTAAACACAAATTCAAAACGGTGTTCATGATGTATTTAGAATTCAAAGTCTGGGTTAAAGAGGAGAAACATGCACGTCACTGCATTTTTGCTACACTATTTCAACAATACCATTATGGCAACCAAGGGGTTAATGCTAGAATATTTCAACAATACCACTGTGACAACCAGGGTTTAACGCTGCAATATTTCAACAATACCACTGTGGCAACCAGGGGGTTAATGCTAGAATATTTCAACAATACCACTGTGACAACCAGGGTTTAATGCTGCAATATTTCAACAATACCACAGTGGCAACCAGGGGGTTAATGCTAGAATATTTCAACAATACCACTGTCACAACCAGGATTTAATGCTGCAATATTGTAACAATACCACTGTGGCAACCAGGGGGTTAATGCTAGAATATTTCAACAATACCACTGTGACAACCAGGGTTTAACGCTGCAATATTTCAACAATACCACTGTGGCAACCAGGGGGTTAATGCTAGAATATTTCAACAATACCACTGTGACAACCAGAATTTAACGCTGCAATATTTCAACAATACCCCTGTGGCAACCAGGGGGTTAATGCTAGAATTTTTCAACAATACCACTGTGACAACCAGGGGATTAACGCTATAATATTTCAACAATACCACAGTGGCAACCAGGGGTTTAACGCTGCAATATTTAAACAATACCACTGTGGAAAACACCACCGGTTTGAGGATGTTGGGATTCGAACAGGAGTACGTACACGAATGAAAAGAAAATACACCTAACATCATTTCTACTCACCCTTACACAAAACCAGGCCGGCCAAATCCCAAACTTAACCAAGCGTAGCTCCATTTTTGTAATATGTCCTATGTCTTTGGTCCTGTTGAACTGGAAATAGATATCAGCATAACACTAGACTAATATAGGGCGGCGTTGTGCCAAGGCTAACACATAGACTCCAATATGAACATGTTTTAGTGTGCATTGTTGTTTAAAGCCGTACTCCAGCTCTGTCTGTAAATAATCAAGTTTGGTCCATCAAGCCTTTTCACGCGATCAGTTTATTTACAGTTTGTTTGTTTGTTGTTTAACGCAGCACTCATGTGATAGCAGTCTGGAAGTAGATTAGTCTGGACCAGACAATCCAGTGATTGCCATCATGAGCAATTGAAAATATTCCAGCTCTGTTACGGCGTCTTGCAATACGGATGCGGATGCTGTATGGCAACATAAACGTGGATTACAACTCCGCCAACCAACACATCAACATCAACTTACTTTAAAGATATCGATATATCCTGGGTGCATTTCAATTCCTTTATTATTTAGGTACAGTTCTTCAAGGTCGTTGTTGTCACCGTGCACCCTCAGATACACGAAACAGTCAGTGGCACCTTCAATCGATTTCGCAGTCTCTGTCACAACCTTGTATATGATCCGGACCAATACCTCCGCTGGAACACAGAAATTCAATATTACAAAAAACGGTTGTGTCATTCGTGACCAGTCGTGTTGTCCCGGAGCAAGCACAATGACGACTCGTACCATTGTCATCTCGGTTATGGGGAGGGGCGGTCGGGTAGCCTAGTGGTTAAAGCGTTCGCTCGTCACGCCGAAGACACGGGTTCGATTCCCGACATGGGTACAATGTGTGAAGCCCATTTCTGGTGTCCCCAGCCGTGATATTGCTGGAATATCGCTAAAAGTGGCGTAAAACCATACTCACTCACTCACTCACTCACTCTCGGTTATGGTCTTCGCGTCAATTTGTTGTACCACATTCACCATTGCGGTGTAAGTTGTAACATTAATCGGCCATTTCCGCTGGAAATAGACCTTTGATTTGTTTCATAGCCATTGTAAACAGACTATTTCTGACCCGTCGACACTCGACAGCTATGAACGCCTTGTCAGACGGATATACCGCAGAATACAGGTGATCTGGTAGTCGTATGCGATTACCTATGGCGATAGATCACAAATACTTTGTTTAGCAGATTCAATTAACTTTTGTGGTAGATGCTATATAACCACGGTCACTACTTGTGTATATCGAATATCGGACAATCTAGTCAATTCGTTGTACCACGTCCGCCATGGTGTTGTATATTTACATGGATATACTATTAACATAACGCGGTTTACATATACGTTGTTGTTCACACTCCGAACACGATCGGCCATTTCCGCTGAAAATAGCCCTCTGAAGTTACTCGTAGCCATTGTAAGCCGGGACTACTTTTGACCCGTCGACCACGCTTGCACGTGACCGTCACGTGATGTAAACATCCTACATGTGCAGCGTGCAGTCAACACACACTCCGTCGCAGTGGTGACTCAGCATAACACCACTGCCACAGGCTAATTTGCATATCACGTGACCGGACTTTTCTCTTGTTTGTAAACAAACGCGCTTTTTCAGAAATCAGTATAGAATGGACTAGTGCAAGTATTTTGGGGCGCTTTACATATTGTTTTGCATAATTATATAAGTATGCTACTACAGCTGCAACAGTTTGTTGCATGACAAATTATATTTATACATCAAAGTGACCGTTTCGCTAGCTCTCCGTTGGGTTTCGATGACAGCACGTGGAGCCGTACAACCAGTGTGAACAAAGTATAACTACGCAGAAACAAGTGGATTTTCACGTTTTAGGATACTTTCTTAAAGAACCGTAACCGTTCTTTGACATTTCTTTATGAAAATGTGTAGACTTGTCAAACATGAAACGGATGAAAAGCATATGCAATATCTTGAATGGACTGTGAAAGATGTGACGAATCGTCACATGGCGCTGGCCTGTGGCAGAGGTACTATGCTAGCTGGCTTCCGGCCGCAAGGAACTCTGGGTAGGAGAGTGGCAGTCAACAGTGAAGAACGCTTTGTCATCAGATGGAAACCCCGCTGACAATTTGTAATCTGGAAGTGTTATGTTTTCATATTTGGCAATAGATCACAAATACCTTTATGGGCAATTTCAATTACAATTTGCAGCCTTAGCCATGATCACTCTTGTGCAGGTGTACACGTGCTGCTGTTAACACTCACCATGTTGGAACTATGCTTTGAAATCGTAGTTAAGGCGACTATGCTTGTCGTAAGAGGCGACAAACGGGATCGGGTGGTCAGGCCCGTTGACTTGGTTGTTGCTTGTCATCGATTCCAGTTGCGTGGATCGATGATCATTATATCAATCACTGGATTGCCTTGTCCAGACTCGATTATTAACAGACCGCCGTCGGTCGGGTAGCATAGTGGTTAAAGCGTTTGCTCGTCACGCCGAAGACCTGGGTTCGATTCCCGACATGGGTACAATGTGTGAAGCCCATTTCTGGTGTCCCCCGCCGTGATATTGCTGGAATATTGCTAAAAGCGGCGTAAAAACGTACTCACTCACTACAGACCGCCGTCATATAGCTGGAATATTGCTGAGTGCGGCGTTAAACAACAAACAAAAATCTGTTGAAATGTTTAGGATAACAATTTCGAATTAAGTAACTAAGTATATAGAAGACTTATGACGAATAAACCCAGGTGAAGGACGACGAGCAAAAAACGTGCATCCGCAAGCGTGTTTTGTTTGAGACCTGTTTACTGTATGGGGTACAAATTGCCCCATTTCCTACAATCACGGCCATGTCTTCTTTGCGGTTATGAAAGTGATGCGGTTTGCCGACTGTGTTGTTCAGTTTGAAAAAAACCAACAATTGTAGCTCTCATTACGGTACATTTAGACACAAAATATTTTCACGTAACATTGATTGGAAGAGGGGTAAGTTATTTTAAGCACGGAAAAGGACAAGAGGTGGCGAATGAGTTAGTGTCATAATTTTCTGACATGCGCATTGAATTGATTCCTGTTTGTGAACCTACCTGCTTTTGCGATCTTTGTCTTCCTGAAAATCTTCGTCATTCTGTTTTTCCCCTCTTTTCTCGGTCCCTTACGTTTGAAAGGACCTAGGTTTCCCGCAGGTTTCTCGTTCTGCAAGGTTGATGAGGCTTTGTCTTGGAGCACAGGAGATTTTTGGACATTATGTGTGGGTGGTGCAGATTTGTCGGTGTCCTGTGTGGGTGGTGGAGATTTGTTGATGTCCTGTGTGGGTGATGCAGATTTGTCGGTGTCCTGTGTGGGTGGTGGAGATTTGTTGATGTCCTGTGTGGGTGATGCAGATTTGTCGGTGTCCTGTGTGGGTGATGTTGATTTGTTGATGTTCTGTGTGGGTGATGCAGATTTGTCGGTGTCCTGTGTGGTTGGTGCAGATTTGTCGGTGTCCTGTGTGGGTGATGCAGATTTGTCGGTGTCCTGTGTGGGTGGTGCAGATTTGTCGGTGTCCTGTGTGGGTGATGCAGATTTGTCGGTGTCCTGTGTGGTTGGTGCAGATTTGTTGATGTCCTGTGTGGGTGATGCAGATTTGTCGATGTCCTGTGTGGGTGGTGCAGATTTGTCGGTGTCCTGTGTGGGTGGTGCAGATTTGTCGGTGTCCTGTGTGGGTGGTGCAGATTTGTCGGTGTCCTGTGTGGGTGGTGCAGATTTGTCAGTGTCCTGTGTGGTTGGTGCACATTTGTCGGTGTCCTGTGTGGTTGGTGCAGATTTGTCGGTGTCCTGTGTGGTTGGTGCAGATTTGTTGATGTTCTGTGTGGGTGGTGGAGATTTGTCGATGTCCTGTGTGGGTGATGGAGATTTGTCGGTGTCCTGTGTGGGTGGTGCAGATTTGTCGGTGTCCTGTGTGGGTGGTGCAGATTTGTCGGTGTCCTGTGTGGTTGGTGCAGATTTGTCGGTGTCCTGTGTGGGTGGTGGAGATTTGTTGATGTCCTGTGTGGGTGATGCAGATTTGTCGGTGTCCTGTGTGGGTGATGTTGATTTGTTGATGTTCTGTGTGGGTGATGCAGATTTGTCGGTGTCCTGTGTGGTTGGTGCAGATTTGTCGGTGTCCTGTGTGGGTGATGCAGATTTGTCGGTGTCCTGTGTGGGTGGTGCAGATTTGTCGGTGTCCTGTGTGGGTGATGCAGATTTGTCGGTGTCCTGTGTGGTTGGTGCAGATTTGTTGATGTCCTGTGTGGGTGATGCAGATTTGTCGATGTCCTGTGTGGGTGGTGCAGATTTGTCGGTGTCCTGTGTGGGTGGTGCAGATTTGTCGGTGTCCTGTGTGGGTGGTGCAGATTTGTCGGTGTCCTGTGTGGGTGGTGCAGATTTGTCAGTGTCCTGTGTGGTTGGTGCACATTTGTCGGTGTCCTGTGTGGTTGGTGCAGATTTGTCGGTGTCCTGTGTGGTTGGTGCAGATTTGTTGATGTTCTGTGTGGGTGGTGGAGATTTGTCGATGTCCTGTGTGGGTGATGGAGATTTGTCGGTGTCCTGTGTGGGTGGTGCAGATTTGTCGGTGTCCTGTGTGGGTGGTGCAGATTTGTCGGTGTCCTGTGTGGTTGGTGCAGATTTGTCGGTGTCCTGTGTGGGTGATGCAGATTTGTCGGTGTCCTGTGTGGTTGGTGCAGATTTGTCGGTGTCCTGTGTGGGTGATGGAGATTTGTCGGTGTCCTGTGTGGGTGGTGCAGATTTGTCGGTGTAGCCTGTGGATACAAGAAACAACATTATGTAGTGACTGATCATCTGGAGATGGTAAGGGTTGGGATTTGTATTTTAAAAATATTTGTTTCAGAAAATACTGTATTTTTTTGTCTCAGGTGAGAAAAAGATGATCGCTGGACAACCTGTATGTTATGTTAAATGTAAGTCTTAAAGCAGTGACCGAAAAAGTATATTATGTTTTTCACATTAATCTCAGATCTGAGTGTTAACGAGTGTGGCGTTACACAAACAAACCATAAATAAACCTGTATGACTATCTCAAGGTCATTGTCAAAGATGCAAAGACAAAAGCAACATTAAGATGCGAAACACGTCGTATGCCAAGTACAATCGTCTCCTTTACCTTATAAACTATTGCCAAAAAACAAATATGGGGAAGGCTACCGGTAAAGGGGCCACGTGGTCGATTTTGAGTTAAGAGTGGAATCTTAATATACAATTAGATCCATCCAAAATAAAACAAATGAACTGAATATCTTTACAACTGACGGTGTAGTGTCTTGTCAAAGAATGGTATGATTACAATTTGAGAAATCGTGTGTTAACATTGTAACGTGTGTTGCCTTTTTATCATAAAACAATAATTATGAGGACGTTACCGTGTGCTCATCTGCATGTATCTTGTTATTAGCAAAGGTATAACCCTGCTAAATTGAAAAGAGTATAACATTGCTCAGACAACGCGCGCATGCGTAACGTTGGAAGTGGTCCTTTTATACCTATGACCGTCAGGTTTGCATAAACATAATCAACTCTCAATAATGAACCATTATACTCGCAGTTGAACCATAGGCTGGTCAACGAGAGGTGGCGAATGAGTTAGTGTCATAATTTTCTGACATGCGCACTGAATGGATTCCTGTTTGTGAACCTACCTGCTTCTTTCGAACCATGGTTTTTATCTGTGATTGGTGTGTTCGTTGAAATCGTCGTCATTCTGTTTTTCAAAGTTTCAATCCCGACTTCTGTCTGTTCTGAAACGGATACCATTTCCTTAGTAGAAGTACCAGCCACCATTACGTTTCCTGCGGGTGTTTCGTCCTTGAGTCTAGGTATAGTCTCCCTGTCTGACGGCGAAAACTCCGAGGCTGACCGCTCCATCATTAAGGTAGAGGGTTTGACTTGGAGCTTTGGAGATTTATGGACATTCTGTGCGGGTGGTGGTGATTTGTTGATGATGACCGGCAAAGATGGTCGAACCATTTTAATTCGCGATAGGTGTGTGTCATTGTCACTGCTCCCGCTCCCGCTGCCACTTTCTGCGGATAAAATAAACAACAACATATTCATTATTTACTGATCATCTAGAGGAGGTAGGGGTTGGGATTGATCAGATCCCATGAGATCTGACGGGTAACTGATCATGAAAAATATACATATGTAGGCACAGGATCTGTCTGATAAGATTGTTTAGTCATGAGCCAGGATAGCAATACGTGATGCATTTGTAATACGAGCTTGGAGTGAGTGGGTTGTGTTTAACGCCGCATTTAACCGCATTCCATATGAGCTTGGATGTTGCAACAAATTGCTATATATTTACTTACTACATTTAAGAAAATACTCTTCGGAATGAGGGTGTGAACCGATCAACACCTTCTGGAAGGCTGCTTCAAAGGTTCCATCATTGTCGTAACGGACGCACTTGGAACAGTGGGGATCACGGGCGCACATAGCGAAACAGTGAAGTCTTGATCTAGAGGACGGGAGGGCAATTTCAACTCTGCCCTCGTCATCAATCTTTCCTGGACCAACATTCTTTCCAAAGTTCACCAGAATACCATCGTACATGTCTGCGCCTACTGCAAGAACAGACAGCACCAGAAGCTGATAGTACAGACATATGATGTTGCTAAATACCATCGTGTCAGAGAGCAATGACATTCAGCGCCTACTCTGAGAAAACCCAGCGGTCCTATGAATATATTTTGTTAAGATACTCTATTGCTCGCTGTTGTTGTACGCCTTCAGGTTGGCGTTTGTGTGGTGGGACACATCACGTCAACTCTTATATTCCTATCGAATATTCCTAGTCATAATACAACAATTACCCGCTGTTCCTGGTCGTTAATTTTAATTCTATTCATTTCAATAGGAGTTACGTACCTTGAACATGTCCTAACAACCACCCATTATAACCCAGCTACAGAAGTAGATTCAGTTTATAATAGGTAAGGGGGAATCAATACTTGAAGTGTCTCATTCAGCTATAAATGTGATTATCTTTTATCGAGTGATATTTAAATTTTCTCGACAAAGTATAGTTATTTTGCTGTTGGTTCTGGATTTCTCGCTACCGTTTTACTATTTGATAGACAGATATTCTTAATATGATAAATGATTTCCTACCATGACGATTTAAGAAATAATGCAACATTTTGATGTGATCTGTCTCCGTTCGATATGGTGTTTATGTGACGTGTGTATACGAGAATAAAACAAAATGATGGTCTAGAAACAATGTCAATGTATGCAGATCGGTGGAAGATAAAGTTTCATCCACAAACACAGAAACATTTTAGTAGCTCACGTAATATGAATGAGAAATCCCAATTGTTCATGCAAAGTATTTCTGAATCACTGAAGTTGAAATAAATAAATTATTTTTTCGAGAAGGTGGAACGTCCAGATAAAGTGAGTGAGTTGTGTTTAACGCCACTTTTAACAGTATTCCAGTTATATCGCGGCGTGACAGCTTAAGGTGGGAGGAAAGCCCAAAGTGATGCAGGTCTCAGACGTTTACCTCTTCGGTGAAACCCACGATCACGGGTATGGTGCTGACAAACCTAGAAACATAATCAGGGCGAACCGGGATTCGAACCCACAATCATAGGTTTCTGGCGTGCCCAAGGGACGCAACTCTGCACAGCGAGCGGCGCCTTACACGGCTGGGCCTCCCGTGCCCCCCGTCCAGATAGATCGCATTGTGGAAAGAGTTATGGCCTCGGTTAATTGTCTGAGGAGTTTTAAATATATTCATCAAGACAAATCGTCAAATTAAGGTATAGGGATCATTTATATTCCACTCTTTTAATTATAGTTGTTAATATAGTTAATTATGTGGGATAATCGTACAGTTGCCCAGAAAACAGTTCCAGATAAGCTACAACTTGATTCTTTAAGGACCGCAGTGAGTAGGCAACATTATTAGAAAACAAATGTAATATTATACACATAGATATGATATAAAAAAGGCTATATATAGTAATGTTGAAGGTTACAGGTTGTGTATAATGTATATATACCAGAATATACAGACGTAACACTGCCAGATGCAAGATGTCTATTGTGTGTATATGCTAAAATAAACAGACGTAACACTGCAATTACCAGGATGTATATGATATGTATATACCAGAATAGACATACGTAACACTGCAATTACCAGGATGTATATGATATGTATATACCAGAATAGACAGACGTAACACTGTAAGTTGCAGGATGTATATGATGTGTATATACCAGAATAGACAGACGTAACACTGTAAGTTGCAGGATGTATATGATGTGTATATACCAGAATAGACAGACGTAACACTGTAAGTTGCAGGATGTATATGATGTGTATATACTAGCATAAACAGATGTACACTGTAAGTTGCAGGATGTATATGATGTGTATATACCAGAATAGACAGACGTAACACTGTAAGTTGCAGGATGTATATGATGTGTATATACTAGCATAAACAGATGTACACTGTAAGTTGCAGGATGTATATGATATGTATATACTAGCATAAACAGATGTACACTGTAAGTTGCAGGATGTATATGATATGTATATACTAGCATAAACAGATGTACACTGTAAGTTGCAGGATGTATATGATATGTATATACTAGCATAAACAGATGTACACTGTAAGTTGCAGGATGTATATGATATGTATATACTAGCATAAACAGATGTACACTGTAAGTTGCAGGATGTATATGATATGTATATACTAGCATAAACAGATGAACACTGTAAGTTGCAGGATGTATATGATATGTATATACTAGAAGGAACAGACGTGACGCTACAGGATGTATATGAAATGTATATTCGAGTTGTCACACCGTCAGTTGGAGGATGTATGTTATCAGTTGTTAGCTGCCGTTGTGGAAAGCGATCTCAGGGATGGTACGATGGTCTACCAGCCACCCTCCTATGCTGACCCACGTCAGTCGTATATGTATATGAGCACGGTCGACCCTGTCCCTCAAAAGTCGCATCAATTCGCAGTGCCGAGGTGCGTTCCGGGAACCTATGTCCCTGAGTACGAATCCACAATTCGTCAGCATTCCTGCTCGTGGTTTTAACATAATTGATCAACCTCTAAAACCTCCATCATTTCCGCCTATCTCCCGCAGCAACTACACACGTGTCACTATAATACTGTTCAAAGCGGCCACTCACTCACTCTTCATAAAAGATCGGAACTCAACTCCCAGCTCACTCAGTCACTCGAGTAGGTAATCTGTTTAAAGTGTACGTACCAGGTATATACGGCAATCGTCTTTTCGCTACCTCAATGAAACAACATCATCGAACTACAAGAGTGACTCATGTAATACTTGATCCGCCAGTTGCCAAACTTCCAATCTTTCGGATATTATACAAGTCAGCCCGAAAGAAAAATAAGTTTTTCTATATTTCCTGGACAACCAATTGCCAATCATATAAAGATTTAAATTCGTGAACCATAGATGACAATTAAACTGAATATTTTCAACAATGTATCAATAACTATTGCTACACGTCAATTTGGGCGAAATACGTTCGGCCTAAGTGTGGAAAAATACATTATCACTGGAAGTATGAATGAAACATGACCTGTTATTGAATGTGGAGAACTTACTTTCACTGAATTATTTGGATGTTCAGGCGATAGGGTAACAGAATATACAGTCACTATAAACATTTATGGAGCACCACCTGAAGCATCCAATTCCGAAAAATAATGACAGACCCTGATCTGAACACCTTTTGGATTACCTTGGGAGACCCTCCAGTTTAGGGGCGGTCGGGTAGCATAGTGGTTTAAGCGTTCGCTCGTCACGCCGAAGACCCGGGTTCGATTCCCGACATGGGTACAATGTGTGAAGCCCATTTCTGGTGTCCCCCGCCGTGATATTGCTGGAATATTGCTAAAAGCGGCGTAAAACCATACTCACTCACTCACTCACTCCAGTTGAAAACATGAATGAACTGACCCGAATTCTCAACCAGGAATGACAGCGGATTCCAATGTTGAAATTCAGACGTCGGATCAGCAGTATGAGGAGACGCCTCGAAAATGTCATCCATGAGATGGTACTCCAGATACTGATTGCACAGATGCTGATTGTCAGCTCTGATTCCAAGATTGACAATAATTTGTTTGTCACTGCATAATGTGACATAATTCGTGGTATGAGCTGGTACTGATACTTTTCAGCGTTGTTGAAATGAGTGAGTCAGTGAGTATTGTTTTACGCCACTTTTAGCAATATTCCAGCAACATCACGGCGGGGGACACCAGAAATGGGCTTCACACATTGTACCCATGTCGGGAATCGAACCCGGGTCTTAAACGTGACGAGCGAACGCTTTAACCACTAGGCTACCCCTGTTGAAATGAAAGTCTTTAGACTTCTACGTATAACGCCAATAAATCGGTACTGACTGGTAATGCTAGCTTCATTCTGTGTGTGATAGTAGTGATCCTTACAGTGATCCATGCATACGCCTTTTCATCACTATTTTGCCTTTTTTTGCCCCATGGCATCTTTTGTTTGTTTGTTTGTTTGTTCGTTTGTTGTTTATTGCCGCACACTGGTCGGCTCGGAGTCAGTATACTGTGTCTGAGTGGGGTATTCATGTTAAACTGCGGCATGGTATCTCGGCAGTGGGCTAGCACTATAAATCGGCATCAGTCCGGACTGGTACAAGCAGCCACACACACACATACGTGCATGTGCGGCGATAAACAAACAAACGGAAAAGAAGCGTTCCTGGGTATGATATTATGGAATATATATTTCAAATCCTGTCTGAGGCGGTGGGGTAGCCTAGTGGTTAAAGCGTTGGCTCGTCGCGCCGCATGCCCGGGTTCCATTCCCAGTATGAGTACAATGGGTGAAGCACTTATGGTGCCCCCCGCCGTGATGTTGCTGGAATATTGCTGAAAGCGGCATATAACCCCGCCGTGATGTTGCTGGAATATTGCTGAAAAAAGCATATAACTATACCCACTCAAACCGTCTATCTATTCATATCACTACGTCAACATTACTGTAATTCGTAATATAACCAGACATTTCCCAAAATATGTTAAATATATTTCGGAAAATATAGAAGTCATCGTGCTCTGTCTAAATTGTAAACATCCACTCACACAACAAAGAAAGAAACATATTTCAGTCGCATTTTTTTAGTATTTTATTACTTTGAATCACAATAGTTTTTAGACGTGTAATCGAAACGTGGTTACAGATCAGAGAGAAGTCAGCGCGTCATCCTGCGTGTAATTTGACACGTAAAAGGGGTCTCCAACAGAAATCATCATCCTGAAAACATCAATTTAACAACATTAACAACACATTAACAACACCAATAACAATAAACAACAATGTAACTATAATGTAACAACAATTAACTACACTATAGTAACACTAACAAGTAAAGTAACATCACTAGCTACAACACTGAAACAACAATCACAACAATGTAAAAACACTAACAACACTATAACAACAAATAACAACACTATCAGCAGCAATGTAACAATATGTTAACAACTGAAACAACACGGTAGAATTCTAACGCCTTTATTAATCATAACAGACAACTAAGAAGATGACGTGTTAATTATTTAGGGAACAATATGGCTTATGTCATGCTTAGCCTTAGTGTCGTGAATATCATGCAATATTACTATTTTATTGCTGATGCGATGGCAGTTTAACTGAATAAGGTATCAAGGACAACTATAATTGTGGCGACGAAGTACTCTATATCTTGGAACGACATAGCTTTATTGTCTGTAAATGATCGTGGCAGCAATAAATATTGTCTGTTCTTAATCATCGGATAATGGCGGTCGGCCTGTGGAAAGTTGTTTTAAAAACAAATACAATTAACATATTGCAACGAACGAAGATAACGTCACTGTCCCCCTTTGGATAACTTGACAGCCCCATCGTTCCTGAATACAGCACTAAACCACCGTCAGAGAATACAAGGCTACCCCAACGTCCCAGAATACAAGACTACCCCACCGTCCCAGAATACATGACTATCCCACCGTCCCGGAATACATGACTACCCCACAGTTCCAGGATACAAGACTACCCCACCGTCCCAGAGTACAAGGCTACCCCACCGTCCCAGAATACAAGACTACCCCACCGTCCCAGAATACAAGACTATCCCACCGTCCCGGAATACATGACTACCCCACCTTCCCAGAATACAAGACTACCCCACCGTCCCAGAATACAAGACTACCCCACCGTCCCAGAATACAAGACTACCCCACCTTCCCAGAATACAAGACTACCCCACCTTCCCAGAATACAAGACTACCCCACCGTCCCAGAATACAAGACTACCCCACCTTCCCAGAATACAAGACTACCCCATCGTCCCAGAATACAAGACTACCCCACCTTCCCAGAATACAAGACTACACCACTGTCGTTGAATATAAGATCAACCGACAGTGCCGGAATACAAGTCTACAACACTGTCGCAGAATATAAGACTAACCCACCGCCCCAGAAAACAAGGTCACACAATACAAGGATACCCCACCGCCGTAGGCTAACCCGCTGAATACTTCTCTGTAAGGAAACTATGGGATTGTGGAGTAATAGCACTGCATATACTTAGTAACACTACATCTCTGTGTCAGAGGGTTCACATTGCATCTAGCTATATACATTGTCCACGTCATCCTAGGATTTTATGGGAAAAAATAAATTGCCCCCGAAAATTCGTAAAATAATAATTATGCTTGGTCGGTTGATAAAATAAGAAATCCCCTGCCACAAACATTACACTGTTGCAAGGTGTTTTTTTAAAGTAAACTCAGACTCATAGTTTTAAGTTTAGAATGCCTACCTCAAATGGTCAAGTATCCTACTACTGGCTCCCTACACTGGTACTTATACTTCTTTGTCGAATTAGACAAGAGTACTTACCCGACAACTGTCGTCAATAACTCACATTGAAGTATTTAAAGCGAGTATATACTTACTTGCTCCTCCAAAAAATGGCGACATAACTGAAAGAGAGATCGATAGGTAAATGTTAGATGAAGATATGTTACCTTAATGTTAAACAAAAGCTATTGTACATAAATTCGTGATATATTGCGTTACTATAAGGTCATGGAAAAAATAGAAATGGATCAAATGAAACACATGGTGGTAACGATGTTTTTCGACCATTTGTTTTGGGATTAGTCTGGTAAATTAACACAGATATGATATTAGTTATGTGAATGTAAGCATCGTCCGTTATTTAACGGACGAGTTATCTTTCCTTGTGTGATGGGTGGGGTGTTGTTAGGGGTTCCATGTCTTCTTCTGTTATATTGTAGGAGCAACCAAATATTGCACAACCTGTGCCTTGTACGGCAGTCTTTGAGGGCCATTTCTTTTTTTTTCTTTGTTTCATGTTAGTAAGTTGAAATGTCAATATAATAATTTGAAATTATAAGATTATAACTTGACATTTATATAACTTATTACCTTTTCAATTTAGTTTCTTGAAATTTCAACTCAGTATCTTAAAATTTCAAGAACAAAATTAAAGAAATAAATGGCCCTCAAAGGCTTCCGTATCCTTGTTCTTTGTTTTATTTGTTTCATGGGGAAATCAGGGTCATGTTCGGACTACCTACCTCCTTGTTGCTGGAAGCTCTGGAAGAATTGCTGCATTTGTGGATCTGGAATGAAACAAACCATAAAGGGTGATCTCCATGAGCAGGTGAGACTTATGCTCACAAGGGAAACATCTAGAACGGGCGTTCGACACGATAGCTGTGAACCTTACAGGTGGGCATCGAGCCCCCACCAAGAACTGCTGTATTCTAAAACTCGTTCGTGGTGTTATGTGAAAGTCACTTGGTTTGTCTACACACCCTCGAACAGAGCACGGCTCATCAGTGTGGTAACTATCTCAGCCTAGTGCCATTGTAACTTGTGAAATGCCCACATATTCATAGACCCGTGAAGATCCGGGGTAGAATAGGTATTCAGCAACACATGCTTGCCCTAAAAGGTGACTATGCTTGTCGTAAAAAACGACTAACTGGATCGGGTGGTCAGGCTCGCTGACTTGGTTGAAGCGAGTCATCGATCCCAATTGCGTGGATCGATGCTCATTATATCAATCACTGGATTGTCTGGTCCAGACTCGATTATTTACAGACCGCCGTCGTATAGCTGGAATATTGCCGAGTGCGGCGTAAAATAACAAACAAACAAACAAACATACCCATAATGTGATTCCTTTTTAACGACCATCACACATGTCTGTATTCTTTCTATTGGCCGGCAGTTTTCAATTGATATTGCTAATATATGAAGTTTACTATATCAAAGAACACCCTTCTAGTCATCTCTGTTTTGGATTTCAGATAATGCTCTATGCCAGGCGTTTGCTATTTTACAGGTTATGTAGACGTATGTAATGACGTTGCCATGTAGTTCCCGACGTAACAGTAAGATGAAATATAAAATGGTTACCAGCGGCTGAGCCCTGAGGGAACAAGTCTGGCAGCGGTGCTGAAACATAATGAAGTAAGTAAGTATACACACACGACTTACTATAGAGTGGTTGGTTGGTTTGTTGTTTAACGCCGCAACTCAGCAATATTCCAGCTTTATGACGGCGGTCTGTAAATAATCGAGTCTGGACCAGATAACCCAGTGATTAATATCATGAGCATCGATCCACGCACTTTGGATCGATGACATGCATCAACCAAGTCAGCGAGCCTGAACGCCCGATCCCGTTAGTCGCATAGTCGCCTTTTACGGCAAGCATGGGTTGCTGAAGACCTAGTCTATAGGTCGACAGAGTGAGAGAGTATGGTTTTACGCCGTTTATTTTTGCCATATTCCTGCAAATTAACGGCGGGGGACATCAGAAATGGACCCATTGTTACTCGCAACAAAATATTATACTGTTTGTCCTTAATAGATGACATATAGTAATCTGGAAGCGAAAATGTACCAAAGGTCGACTAATTGTAAATGTTTTGGAAAGAAATAGTTCTGGTAGATATAATTTTATACATATTGTATCATCCATCACATATCCATGTATGTTGTATACATGACATATCATTACTTACAATGCATTAAGGACTGGGATCCAGAGCCTAAAAACAGAAAATAGATACATGGTACAGCCTGTATGAAATTTGAAATCGTGACAAACAAGTTTTGTTTATTTGTTTGTTGTTTAACGCCGCACACAGCAATATTCCAGCCATTAGACAGCAGTCTGTAAATAATCGGGTCTGGATCAGACAATCCAGTGATTGGCAACATGAGCATTGATCCACGCAACTGGAATACGATGACATCATCAACCAAGTCAGCGAGCTTGACAACCATATCCCGTTAGTCGACAAGCATTGGTAACTGAAGCCCAATTGTAAACCGGATCTTCACGGGTAGGTTTTTTGCTGACAGAGACGTTAAACAACAAACAAACAAATGGAGAGAACACAAGGCGGATACTTTCAAGGTGTTGTAAACATAAGCATCTAAGGAATTATGCTGAACAAACTACAGTCATAGTGATTGATATCGTGAGGAACAGTCCACGCGGTAGGGGTGCGATGACTTGATACCAATCTCAGTCACTGAACATGGCTCCCAGATCCTTTTCGTCGCCAGTTACGTCCAGCATAAGTTGCTGGAAATTATTCTCACCCGGAATCGTCATGGGGTAAGTTAATTTATAAATGAAAAACAACAACGTATTAGTTGCTTACCTGGAAACAATTCGGCGGGCATGTGACCGTTATGCATTCCTAGACTGGACATCGACGATGTGCCTGAAGAACCTGAAATAGCAGCAGCTTACATTTTACAACAGTTCGAGGCACAATCAAGCTTGATAAATTCAGACACAGATAGTTCTGACAATAATACCTGGAGTTTGTTTTTTGGACAGATTCAGACATTTCTGTCTATCAGAGCTTCAAGAAATATGGAGACTAACAACTATTTAAAAAAATATCTAGCATGACAATGAACGATGTATTTCGCGGTTTAACATGAGTCAGATTTTGCCGGCATATTCTCTTACTCAACATCTCATTCACCCCTGTCATTCATCATTCACCCCTGTCATTCATCATTCACCCCTGTCATTCATCATTCACCCCTGTCATTCATCATTCACCCCTGTCTTCATCATTCACCCCTGTCATTCATCATTCACCCCTGTCATTCATCATTCACCCCTGTCATTCATCATTCATCCCTGTCATTCATCATTCACCCCTGTCTTTCATCATTCACCCCTGTCATTCATCATTCACCCCTGTCATTCATCATTCACCCCTGTCATTCATCATTCACCCCTGTCATTCATCATTCACCCCCGTCATTCATCATTCACCCCTGTCATTCATCATTCACCCCTGTCATTCATCATTCACCCCTGTCATTTATCATTCACCCCTGTCATTCATCATTCAGCTCTCATTTGTTTGTAAATAAAATACGTCAACGCCAGGGAATAACCACACTCGATTCTCTTCGTCTCTGACTCATACCAACGTCCTTCAACACACTATTAATATAACATCAATACGAAGGCGTCAAATCTCCGAGACTTGGGTTATGTATGTACACTTGGCACAGATTAACACACGCTTTTATTTGGTCAATAATCCACTTCCAAGCGTCATGAGAGGTTTATCAATATTTGAATAAATAATATGTTATTTGTTTGTTTTTAACGTCGCACGTAGGAATATTCCTTAGACAGAGGTTTGTAAATAATTAAGTGTGGACCAGACATTGTGTGTGTAGGTTGCTGTACATTGAAGAATGATTGGGAGTGTGTGCGGCATTCAAACAACTTTATGAAATGGGACTGAATCCCAGCAATCCTTCGGATGTTACGCCCGCATCAATATCTTTCTGGATAAGTATCTTTTGAATAACTGGAAGAAAGTATTCCACTGATGGAATAGATACCACACAAATTTAGTAATTGAATATTTAATATTACTGTTATGTGACGCCACTGACATGACGTTTAATGTTTGTGACGTCATCCTATATGATGTTCTATGACGCTGTTATTTGCAAATCAATGACTTCCGTTATGAGGTTTTAATACAGCCACTAAACAAGTGCTGTTGTTTGTTTGTTTTGTGTTTGTTGGGATTGGCTACAAATTCTATCCATTTTAGCTTAAAAAACACGTCATGAACGCTCTTTCCAAACTTGGAGTAAGCGCTCTTTTCAGACTTGTTTATTTGACATTCATTAAATATTACCTATACAATCATATTGTCAATAATAAATTCAAGTGTCAGAAAGGCTATGTAAGATACCTACCGCTAGACGGCGCGGATGGGGATTGGCCGTTACTCCCAGCACCCGGGAACACTGGAACAAAGAAGACATTTACTTTATCTTCTTTATCTATGAGTCATTGTCAGGTGTAACCATTGCTTAATGGTTCTCTGAATGGTACTGACGAAATGTTGAAGAAAATTAGCGGCGATACAATTTCCGAGTCCCGTGATGGGAATCGAACCACGAACCTTCTGATCCGAGGTCGGACGCCTTGTCCACATGACCAAAGAGGTCGGGCTCGATTTTTTAGAGACCGCCGTCATATAGTTGGAATATTGGTGAGTGCGGCATTAAAGAAGAAAAAGAAGTTGCAAAGAGTTTTTGATGCTTGAATCATGAACTAACTAAATTGGAGCATGATCGGAAGATGTCTCTGACATTTCTGTTCTGAGAAGAACAATCAATACAATGCAGTCAGTACAATGTTCAGATGGTCCATGTCACATTTGTTTCATTTAATCATTACGCGTAAATTTCGACAAGACAAGACAATCTCCATCGATACAAATCATAGACTTACACACAGTTGTATTGTACTTGGGTTGGTAATGAACCTTAGACATCCACTTACTGTCTGGGACCAAAAACATTCAACACTTGATAAAGAAAGCAATCTCCTGAGATATATATCGAGATTTCTGTGTTTGGAGAAAGTCGTAGGCCGATATTCGACATAGTGCTGAAACAGAACGTGCCCGGATAGCGAGGTTACATCGTCGTACACGATGTGACGCCACGTTGACACAGAACCTGCCAGGACAGGGAGTTAAAATTGTTATACCCGAGATATGTTGACACAGAACCTGAGATTATAAAGATACCAAACCCAGACACCGTATACTGACACACGGCCTTAATATTATCCCCATAAGCGCGAGGCACGGTAACAACATGTACCATATTTGTTCATTAAACGCGTCCTGGTATCAAACCACCTAAGTTCCGAAATTAAAATAAGAGTAATGTTGTGCAACTGGAAAAGCAACATGTGTATCAAGTACCAGACTTTACAGAGTAAAGACTGTGAAGAAGACTCACCGCTGTTACTGCCAGGCAAAGTGTCCATGGGGGTCCCCATTGACGATCCCATTGACGGTCCATTTGAAGACCCTTGAACAAAACCGTGTTATAAACGTTGGATTAGTGTCAGTATTTTTGCAGTAAAATGCACATTTTAGCATAATGGTATTTAGCCGTAAGTAAAGGCGCGTCCATTTGATATTCGGGGCTTTGGGCTTGGATTTCAGCAAAATTTGCAAAACCAGATCTCTTTTTATTATTAAGTATTAAAAAAACACGCCTTGCAAAATAGACAAGTTATATTTTTCTCATCAGCATGATGCATATAAATCTTTTCAAGCATTTTGGGACAATTTATTTTATTTAGAACAATCCCAGACACAACCATTACCCCGACCCCCACCCCACCCCAAAAATCAAATGGTGAGTCCCTATTGCCTTTATCAAAATAATACCCTTGAATCTTCATTTGAGTTATTTCGTAATTGTTCGTAATAGGCATTCTATAGGCACACTTTAACATAGTGTACGATAGACAGAACTGCACCGTGCACATATGTTTGGGCCCAACAGGACATATAATTTGATAGCAATAACTTTCATGAACCTATAAGACACACAAAAGAGGAACATCCTCATCTTACAATGATCAGTGCGCATGTAAATAGTATTTTCAGCACCCTGTGGAGTAGCGAGCAGAAGCTCTAAGTACAATTTAATGTTAAGATTTATAATATCACCCCACAGACTAAGAATGGTTGTTTCTTGGCCACAGACAGTCTCTTTTAACTGTGACGACCTTAAAAGTGGCACGTGAAGAATTACACTATTTGGTTATTTTCGTTGGGTGTTTCACAAGACAGGAACGTTTTAATGGACACCCAAACCCGTGATGTTATCATCGGTGGTGATATACACCCGTGTTGAAGCTCCAGAATAAACTCCGGTTCGCCCCGATTATGTTTCTAGGTTTGTCAGCAACTCGTGGGTTTCACCGAAGTGGTAAACGTCAGAGACCTGCATCACTTCGGGCTTTCCTCCCACATTAAGCTGACACGCCGTGATATAACTGGAATACTGTTAAAAGCGGCGTTAAACCCAACTCACTCACTCACTCCAGAATAAACTCACCTCCAGTCATTTGGTTGATCAAGGACATGGTGGCAGCTGTGGAAATCAGACAGGTTCGATATTAAGCACATGCTAGCATTGAGTTCAATACAGTAGAACAGTTCTGCTTGTTTGTTGCTTAACGTCGCACTCAGCATTATCCCAGCTTTACGACGGCGGTCTGGAAATAATCGAGTGTGGACCAGACAATCCAGTGATTGACATCATGAGCATCGGTCCACGTAATTAGGACACGATGTCATGGGTCAACCAAGTCAGCGAGCCTGACCATTCGATCCCATTAGTGGCCTCTTACGACAAGCATAGTCGCCTTTTATGGCAGGCATGGGTTGCTGAAGATTTATTCTACCCCGGATCTTCACGGGTCTTATGTGTAAATGTTAAGTGTGCTCCAAGAGGAGGAGGGTAGGGGTACCTCAACAACTGTCTGTTATTCTACCCCGATCGTCACGGGTCAGTAGAACAGACAGGGCCTTAGGGTACACAGGAAGGGCGTCGGGAAGGGTGTTTGCATATTTTGTTTTTATCAGTTAACCTCCTCTTCTATGTATTCAAAATTCTGAAATTTGTTATGACATATCCAAAGAAACAGGACGTTTTTTCTCAAATGATAAGCATGACGTTATGCCTTTAAAGTTGCTTGTGAAATTGGTTTCCATCCCATGAGAGGACTATAACATGTCGCTTGGGAGAGAGAGTCTAAGCCACAATAGATCCCCATCTTAACGCGGTGAATATGTATAAATAAACATAACCTGAAATAATTCAGGTTACAATATTTTGTGTTGTGTGCCAACATGTTACACTCACCAAGTTTCCTTGCTTTGGCTGAAAACAAAAAAACAAACAGTGTGTTAATTGCAACACAAAATAAATATCACAGACGTTTTCCATTATGGTAGATGACAAGCGTCTGATGAAGCGACAAAGTGTGGATTTGCTTTGATGTTTAACGTCTACAACTTCAAGTGGCGATCCGGTTCGCCCCAAATATGTTTCTAGGTTTGTCAGCACCATACCCATGCTAGTGGGGTTCACCGAAGTGGTAAACGTCTTAGACCTGCATCACTTCGGGCTTTCCTCCCACATTAAGCTGACACGCCGCGATATAACTGGAATACTGTTAAAAGCGGCGTTAAACCCAACTCACTCACTCACTCACTCAAGTGGCTTTCATCCTGTTTCAGTCTCCTATTTATGTAAATAAGCTGAACCACCATTGTTTGACTTATCTTTGCTTAGAGACAATCGTCAGGATTAAAGTTAAAAGTTAGTTCGTCATTATCTGTTGAACAGTCAAGTCCGGCTTGAACTGCTGCAGATTCATGTATACATTGTAAGTTAAGTAAAACAACAAGTAGAGGAATACATTCTTATTATTGTAAAAACAAAATATAGAAGCAACCTCAAGAAGCTATTTTTAAGATCAATGCACTTTACGTATGAACCCATTGTTCAAACAAGCCAGATGACAGGAACAGGCAACAGTCATGCTCAATCGTACATCACTTTCTGAACATCAGGCCTCAGACCACAATTAATTTCCTTCTTTGCTATCTACAGTGACATGACAGCCCACCGTAATTATTATCGGTCGTAGGCTGTTCTCCTGTTGCATGCTTACCAACCTGCCACTTGTCACTTAATATACAAAGTTTCGGCCTGCATTGACCAGCCACCTTTCGCAGTAACCACTGTCAACAGTGCTCACCGGAAGTTTCGAGCCGAAACACACAGAGCGGCCATCAACTTGGGGTCAAGTTATGGGAGGCTGAAATCAATACCTTCACAGCATGTGGCTAACAAAGAATTGGCAATATACTACAATGTCTAATCTTTCATTTAAGCTATCACAAGTCACTCCAAAAAATATTGCACAGGCTGAACAGCCCATTTGAACAGGGCACTATACACACTCCGTCGCAGTGGTGACTCAGCATAACACCACTGCCACAGGCTAATTTGCATATCACGTGACCGGACTTTTCTCTTGTTTGTAAACAAACGCGCTTTTTCAGAAATCAGTATAGAACGGACTAATGCAAGTATTTGGGGGCGCTTTACATATTGTTTTGCATAACTATATAGATATGCTACTACAACTACAACAGTGAGTTGCATGACAATATATATTTATGCATCAAAGTCACCGTGTCGCTAGCTCTCCGTTCGGCTTCGATGACAGCACGTGGAGCCGTACAATCAATGTAAACATAGGATAACTACGCAAAAACAAGTAGATTTTTACGTATTTGCATAATTTCTCAATGAAAGTAAATCATTCTTTGACATTTCTTTATGAAAATGTGTAGACTTGTCAAACATGAAACGGATGAAAAGCATATGCAATATCTTGAATGGACTGTGAAAGATGCGACGAATCGTCACATGGCGCTGGCCTGTGGCAGTGGTACTATGCTAGCTGGCTGCCGGCCGCATGGAACTCTGGGTAGGAGAGTTGGCACTATATTCTCCTATTTTCCTTCCGGTTCGTAAAACTTAGGGGGGATAACTGTGGTCTGAGGCCATCAGACCGTACCAAGTCATGATTTTATTGTAGGCGCAATGGGACTGTTGGCGCATTGGGAAGACACCTTCATCCTTACTGACTTACTTCAACATTGCCCCGTTGTTTCACGTATCCCGAAGTGTGTACTTACCTGCGTTTCTCGCCACTGTAAGTAAAGAAGACAATGGTTACTTCAAACATCGTTTACATCCAATGTGAAGGAATTATGAATTTCTGATTGGCTCGAGTATTATCTGCTATACATAACGCAAGTGGGTAACCGGAAATAGCGTCTCAAAACTGTCTACGTGGCAACATATAATCAATATACGGTTCTCTGCTGTCATCACAGTATCCAACCATGTGGCACTTCGTGGATGAAGCTGCTTATTGTTTTAAGTGATTGACTGAAACTGCTACTGATAGTTAACGGTACTTAAGGAAATGGCGATTCCAGTCTTGTACTTTATTTACTTGGAAATGTTTTGAGTTTGGATTTAACTAGCTTCAACTGATATTTTCAACAGCTGATTCAGTTTTAGTGTTCTGTAAGTTAAACGTATGCCAGCAGTTTTCTTTGGTTGGTGTATTGGTTACTCGAAGAACGTTTACTTACAATCTTCCTGTCTCTCTATCATTGGTTCAAGTATGTCTCTGGCTGAAACACAAAAAACACCTTATTTGAACTTCAAAATCATTGGTTTGGGCAACGAATAAAGAGATTGTTGCTGAAATATTTTGGAAACTCAGCAATATTCCAACTATATGACGGAGGCCTGTAAATAGATTTGGACAGACCTGTGCTTGATATTATGAACACCGATCGCCGCCGTCGGGCATTACTCTTCACAACGGAATAGACACAATTTATTGATAACAATTTCTTTGTATCAATCCTGGCAGTAAATAAAGAGGTTGTTATCCATGAATTGTGTCTTCTTTGTCATCCGTCAACTTCTTAGTAATGCCTACCAAAGGATTTAACTCACAACAGAACACATTATCACTACCATAAGATGTCTAAATGACAGTTATTACACAGTTCTGTTTGTTTGTTGTTTAACGCCTCACTCGGCAACATTAAAGCTATATGACGGCAGTTTGTAAATAATCGGATCTGGATCATACAAACCAGTGATTGATGTAACGAGCAACAATCAACGTCGGGTATGCTGCGCGCAACCAACCAAGTCACAGAGTCAGACCACCGATCCATTAAGTCACCTCGTACCGCCACCATAGTTTACTTGGGGACAATTCTTACCCCACGGAATGCCCAAGGGGCCTTATATGTGAATGAAGTGCGATTATGACAATCTTTAGGAATCTGATCTGTGACTCAGACATAAATATAAAGTTATACCACGTGCTCCAAGACTTGCAGTTCCTGGCAATCCTGGCACGGCTGCCGCCCCCTGTAATCCTGCCAATCCAGTAAGCCCTGTTGCAAAAGTAAGTTGATACTGAGTAACAGTCGAAGAAAAGTGTGTATATTTGTGAAGACTCACACTTTGAAAATTCTTGTAGTCAATAATGGTCCACCAAAGATGTAAACGCATGTCTGTATTAGCTAACGCCCAGGTCCGCTCTTAATTGATTCAAGACCTGGAACCTGATTATTGATAAGGACTTCTACATTGCTACTGACGACAGTTCATGGCTTTATCCTTCCCACTGATCTGTGTGTGTGTGTGTGTGTGTGTGTGTGTGTGTGTGTGTGTGTGTGTGTGTGTGTGTGTGTGTGTGTGTGTGTGTGTGTGTGTGTTTATGTGCGTGTCTATGTGTGTCTTTCTATGTGTGTTTTTGTGCGTGTAAAGGAGTGTCTGTGTGTGTGCGTGCGTAGCTGTGTGTGAGTATGTGTCTCTGAGAAAGATAACCGAGAGTTGTCAGCACATTTTTTGTCAGAAACGATTTCTTCCTTTTCATGTGTTTACCCATTGAACAATTTGTATCGTTCTCATAAGATATGGTTCTTAGACACCGTGTGTGTGTGTGTGTGTTTGTTTGTGAGTATGTGCGTGTCTATTTGTGTGTGTTTCTATATGTGCTTGTGTGCGTGTTAGTGTGTGTGTCTTTGTATGTCTCTGTGTGTCTTTGTGTGCGCGTATGTCTGTCTGTGTGCGTGCGTGTCCGTGTGTGTGTGTGTGTGTGTGTGTGTGTGTGTGTGTGTGTGTGTGTGTGTGTGTGTGTGTGTGTGTGTGTGTGTGTGTGTGTGTGTGTGTGAGATTCCCGAGAGTTAATGCAAACAATTTGTCAGCACATTTCCTGTCAGAAACGATTAATACAAGTAGCGAAACTTGTATTTTTTTATCTTCGGGAACAGATTACTTTTGTGTAAGCTGATGGTACAATCTCGTACATACCTGGATTGGTCTGAAGTGAATTGATGTCTGCTGCAGTCAAACCTAGAAAAATACCAACAATGACAGTATATGCTTTTAATGTTTGTGTGTTTTTTAATGCCGCACTCAGCAATGTTCCAGCGGGCTGTAAATAATCCAGTCCAAACAATCCGTCATGACCATCGATTCACGCAATTGGGATACGATGACATACATCAACCAAGTCAGCGAGCCTGACCACACGATCCCGTTAGTCGCCTCTTGCGACAAACATAGTCGCCTTTTACGGCAAGCATGGGTTGCTGAAGACCTATTCTACCCCGGATCTTCACTGGCTCAATACTCTTTGCATTCAGTGGGGCTCAAAGTGGATATTTAAAGCGGCCATAACAATTTTTAAAGTGTATACATTTTGTGTGCTGTCGCGGATTATGTAGAAATATTGTGTCTATGCCTCTTACGACAAGCATGGGTTGCTGGGAGGGAAGCCCAAAGTGATGGCGGAATGTATTGACCAGACAATCTATTGGCAGGTGTCTTAAGCAATGTGCATTTGCTATATACTACAACATGCAATCGACCGAGTCACCGAGACTGACCAGACAAACTATTTAGTCGCCTCTGGTTTCAGGGGGCCCCTTTTTATCCCGGAATCATTATTATTGGAAATTTATCAAATGCTTGAGACATGTGACGTGTTACAGATATTTCTTAAGTTTTATAATTTTATATTTTATAAATGACCAGGACTTACCTTGTGACCCAGAGGCAAGCGGTGACAGTGGAGAAGTGTTACCTGTTGTCAAAGGTAATGTTATTTTAAAACATAAAGGTAGTATAATAACAGCAGTATAAAATCAGGTACAATCACTCTAAATTATTTGAGTGAAGCTAATACATTTATGTATTTGTACTATTGAAATATGACATGAATCACTCAGTTTAAAACAGGATTCCCTTCAATGTAAAATAATACACGGTCAAGCATGCTGGGGGAAGTGACGTTATACCGTTTACTGTCCCATAACTTTGCTGTTACCAGTGAGTTAGTAGTTGTTCGTGGTTGTATGTCGACGTCAGCAGTATTCCCTAAATATTGTGTCAGAGAACATCAGATGTGGGTTTCACACATTGTACACATGTGGGGAATCGAACCCGGGCTTTGGCATGTCGAGTGACCTCTTGAACCACAAAACCATTTGTAACTATACCTTATGTCAAACTCTCAAACATCTGCTACATTCATTATTATTGATATTAATTATTAATGAGTTAAGGCACATGTTCTTAAATATGAATAACAAATAAATGTATAAAATAGCCTGTTAAATTATATTTATTTAGACTAAAGAACATTTCCAAACTGACAAATTCTAATGTTGCGTGACAACTTTCTTACTATTTGGTGAGGCTCCAATCCCAGACATGTCAAATGGGTTCATCATACCGCTGAAAGCTGGAACCGGAAAGTATTGGTTTGAGGCTCTGTGAAACAAGCTGACTCAGCACAACAGGACATGCATGGTGTGGCGAGAAATAACATCCTTGACACACTTGGGAATAATGTGAAGAAATAACATAAATGACATATTTAATACATAATAGAACATGTTTGACAGTATTTAACTTACTTGAAAGAATAAACATTTTTTTACAGTTTTTTTCTGTTTTCCATGTTGTTTTTGTTCACATAAAGTGTATACGTTCCATATTTAACACTAATTATTATTGTCTCACACCTCTGCAACGAATTAACCACGGAAGATTCTTGCCATTCTTGAATATAAGAACGGTAACACATGTGAAGCACAAAGACCAAAGCTCAATCCCAATGCAGCACCGAGCACGAATAACGGCACCGGGAAGACCCTATATACATCTGGTCGGCCACCTGTTAAACACAATCCTCACAACACTATCTACACACCACTACTCTACACCTCACTGTCTACACAACACTATCTACCCACCACTACTCTACACAACACTACTCTACACCACACTGTCTACACAATTCTATCTACCCACCACTACTCTACACAACACTACTCTACACCACACTGTCTACACAACACTATCTACCCACCACTACTCTACACAACACTACTCTACACCACACTGTCTACACAATACTATCTACCCACCACTACGCTACACAACAGTACCGATGGGTGAACAGTACTTTTATCACTTGGCTCAGAAAGTGATTACAGTGTTTTTCAGAAATTGCCTTTCACAAATACGAGCAAGTCTTTGAACCAAGCTGTTTCGTAGGGGATAGAGGGTACACAGTTATAACAATAGTTATATTTTGACCCGTGGTATTGCTTGTTCTTCCGATAGAATGGACAATTCTAATTTTACTTTTTGAAATGTTCCAGTTTTTACACATGTTTGGTAAGGACCTATGTTACTGTCCAGACTGACTAAGACATAACATCGGTATATTGTACATGTTGAGTGGAAAATTCACTGGAAGAAACAGCAACATTGAAAACAAAATTCCAAACGAAAATGTCATATTTCAAACCTCTCGAAATATGATATTACCCATGTTTGAAAAGTTATGACATGGTCGAAGCGTTGTGGAAATGTTTTTTCTTGGAGACAAAATGTAAAATGTTTGCAGGATGTTTGGAAAGACAAGTCTTTCATGTCCTTTACAGGCTTGGAAATGTTGCTTTTTCTTCCGATGATATATTTTGAATAGTGTACGAAGACTGGGGGCAATAGGTATACAAAGTCTCACCCTTTCTCGAATTGGCGACGTTTCCAACAGGTGGTTCTAAAACAACGCAACTTGTTGTAGCTCACGGCCGCTAGTTTATTGTACACCTAATGTACTATGTCACTCAACATTACTTATATCAATTGAATTCTTTAAAAACGATAGTAATACTCACGACTGAGAGCGTTTGTTGCAGCTGGCATTGGACTTGCTGACACTGCAGAAGAGAATAGGATTATTATCAAATATTCTAATTCTGTAATCCTCCAGTCCTCTTTCATTGCCACGTCCAATAAATATTTGATGGCATGTCAGGCCAACTGTCATGTGTCCAAAGGAAGGAAATGATTATGATTATTAATTATTTGTCTAATTTGCACCAAAAGGCTAACCAGCTGAAACGTACATTTTACATAGTTTGGTCGTCGTTTTTTCGACTTCTTGGTCGTCGTATTTCCGAGTGCGCCTGGTCGTCGTTTGTACAATTAATTGTTCGTCGTTTTTTTCCGATTGCTCACCAACTAGTCTTCTGTGAGAACGTCATGTATGGTTCATCCACTTAGTCCTTTTATTGTGCAAATTCGACAATTACAATACATGTATATTTTGTGGACAAATCTTACTTTGGTTCCATTGATAGGCCTGTATATGTACACTAATGGATTATGGTATGCACTGAATCAGTGTCATATTGCTCCCTGTTTTATTTCTGTCAATATGTCATGTGACTCTACTTGGGTAGCCCTGGGGGTTAAGGTGTTAAGGAAGAGTTACTTGCATCCCATGTGTCACTGTGGGCGTTCGTCCCACGCCCATCTGATACATCGGGATACATCGGGATATATCGGGGTACATCGGGATATATCGGAATACATCGGTACACAACTGAAATACTGTTTAAAGCGGCGTTCAACCATCTCACAACCTCAATGCCTGCTATATATCAATTGCTTCTGTCAACCAAATGTTCCCTTTACACAAATCACTCAACGTCCACAAGCAGGCAAGGAGTCACAGTCTCCAAAGTTTCCAAACCAACCCGTTCCACCCTAAACGTTCCACCTTACCCAAAGCTCAACCTAATCCCAAAACTCAAACCTCCCCCCAAGCCAGAGACGACATCATACCCCAAAACGCGACGCCAAGTCCTCAAGTCCGCCACCCTGAAATTCCAGCTCACAAAAATCCTCTACCCCTACCCCTAGAGCCCCCTACACACACACACATAGACACGCACACACACACACGCGGTGTCTTCAGCAACCTTCGGGATCGGGTGGTCAGACTCGCTGACTTGGTTGATGCATGTCATCGTATTCTAATTGTGTAGGTCGATGCTCATGATGTCAATCACTAGATTGTCTGGTCCAGACACGATTATTTACACTCGACGTCATATAGCTGGGATATTGCTGAGTGCGGCGTTAAACAACAAACACACAAACAAACAAACTTAATCATTCCACCCCGATCCCACTAATACGGTGACCTCACCTGCCGCAGCTCTCTGGGCGGCTTTTAGCCTCTTCTGGAGTACATCGTATTCTGCAACGAGTGCCTGAGTCTGTGCTGGATCTAAAACATCACATGACCATTACTGCAGCTATCGACCGCTATCCCAAAGCTGAAATACTTAATATAGCACGTGTCCTATATTCCATCTTCCCGAGTCAAGGGAGTTAACTAACTGTACAAGTCCAGTTTCCACCCTTCCCGATCCAGGCTGGAATTTCTGGTCTCGATCTTAGCGCCACCAGTGGTAATTACGAGTTATGTCCCTTCTATGTCCCTCCTATTGACCAATCAGATCCCACCCCTTATATCACTTGCATGTGCTTCAAATAAAATAGCGGCGCCCGGGGAAGACGATCTGATCGATAATCAAGATCTATATTGTAACAAAACGGGTCCTACTTTGCGAAGTGGATCAAATCATGTGAGCAACTTTATTAAAAACATGAAACGATTTGGAATAAATATGTTGACGCTAAAATGACGGTACACAAATCCTGCAATCGACCGAAATCTGCACGGCAGTTTACGAACCGGATGTCGATTTCGTTACGCGATATTGATTGGACTATACATAGACTCGTTAGTCCAGCCAAAATATAACTCAATAATTCCAGCCTAGCTCGGCAAGGGTGGAAACCGGACTTTTATAGTCAGTTAACTCCCTTGCCTCGGGAAGATGCCTTAATTCGGAACAAAGGAATTCCCTTTCTGCACGGGGCATGATTGTTATATCAACCAGTATGACTTGTGTGTTAAAACCCTCGAGTGCCAAAATAAGCACGATAATGAGAGTCCCAATCTGGAGCTTAAGCAGTCAAACGTTTAATTGATACAATTAAAACTAGATCCATGTTTAAATGAGTTTTAAAAGAACGAAAGATTTCATGACACTATTAATCATTTCGGGCTATAATTCCTTTAATATTCTACATAATCAATTAAATAATAACGACGAAACATGATGTAATACGAAAAAGAAAAACAATGCTAAAATACTAGTTATAAAGGAGCAGACATTGCATAGCTTAGGTTTCTGTACTCACCTGGGCTTGGGTTTTTAAAATGAGTCATAAGACGATTTTCTAAGGTCATCACTTGTGTCTCAATAGCTGGTATCGACTCCGAGCCCAAAGCAACAGCAGCTGTAAGATAACGGTAAACTACAGCACCAAATAGTGAACAGTCTTTCTACCAATAGGTGAGTGAGTGAGTGAGTGAGTGAGTGAGTGAGTGAGTGAGTGAGTGAGTGAGTGAGTGAGTGAGTGAGTGAGTGAGTGAGTGAGTGAGTGAGGTTTTACGCCACCTTTAGCAATATTCCAGCAACATCACGGTGGGGGATACCAGAAATGGGCTTCACACATTGTACCCATGTAGGGAATTGACCCCGGGCCTTCAGCGTGAAGCGAACTCTTTAACCAGTCGGCTACCACACCGCCCCTCCTGTTTGTGGACGTGTACTGGGATTTCCGTCAGCATATTCTCGTATTCCTACATTGATAAACGCTTTAAAGGTGATTTTACTCACGGTCCAAGGGCATCCCTGTCATATCCGGCATCCCTGTCATGCTTGCCATCCCTGTCATATCAGGCATCCCTGTCATGCTTGCCATCCCCGTCATATCCGGCATCGCTGCCATGCTTGGCATCCCTGTCATAGCCGGTGATTGAGCACCTGAAATGTTAAATAATAAATGAGGCTTTATGGAACAAATTGTCTTATGATCATAACTGGTGAAGACCTCCCAGGTGGTTTAACATGACGAGGGGAAAGGGCCTGTTTAATGTCCCGTTTCGTCCTCCAACAAACGAATTTCACCATTGTCGAGAATGTGACGGACGATTAACGTAATAATTCGTTGTTTGTCGTTCAAATACTTTTATAAAGAAGATGACGTGAGCAATAACATCATCGGTATGGACTAAGAATTTATTGTCTTAATAGAATGCATGAAGGGCGAAAACGGAACTGTTTACGAATATCTTCTTGTTACCTGTACCGCTGAGACTAACCTGCAGAATTGCTGATGCCGCGTTAAGCACTAATCACTCACTCACTCGCTCTGGTTGCCTGCACGTGTAGGGTATGGGAGATTGCAAAACAACACGTTCTACCTTGATTAGCGGTATTGGAGATTGCAAAACAAAACACTCCTACCTTGATTAGAGGTATTGGAGATTGCAAAACAAAACGCTCCTACCTTGATTAGCGGTATTGGAGATTGCAAAACAAAACGCTCCTACCTGGGATAGCGGTATGGGAGATTGCAAAACAAAACGCTCCTACCTTGATTAGCGGTATGGGAGATTGCAAAACAAAACGCTCCTACCTGGGATAGTGGTATTGGAGATTGCAAAACAAAACGCTCCTACCTGGGAAAGTGGTATGGGAGATTGCAAAACAACACGTTCCTACGTATACCTGAGATAGCAGTATGGACGATTGCATGTCAACACGTTCCTGCCTTGATTTGCGGTTTGGGAGATTGCAAGACAATACGTTCCTACCTGAATTAGCGGACTGTTCCATCTGCCTCTCCAGCTGCTGAAACTGCATCATCACGGACTGGAGCTGAGCTGTACGGGATGAGGATACAAGAGTTTATACTACGGGATACAGAGGATACAAGCGTCCATACCACGGGATACAGAGGATGCAAGAGTTTATACCACGGGATACAGAGGATGCAAGAGTTTATACCACGGGATACAGAGGATGCAAGAGTTTATACCACGGGATACAGCGGATACAAGAGTTTATACCACGGGATACAGAGGATACAAGAGTTTATACCACGGGATACAGAGGATGCAAGAGTTTATAACACGGGATACAGAGGATGCAAGAGTTTATACCACGGGATACAGAGTATACAAGAGTTTATACCACGGGATACAAAGGATAGAAGAGTTAACACAACGGGATACAGAGGATGCAAGAGTTTATACGACGGGATACAAAGTGTGTGTGTGTGTGTGTGTGTGTGTGTGTGTGTGTGTGTCTGTCTGTTATGTGTTTTAAAGGTCTACTCCACTGATATCTAGTCATGACATCAATCACTGAATTGTCTGGTCCAGACTCGATTATTTACAGACCCCCGTCATATAGCTGTGACATTGCTGAGTGCGGCGTCATTCAACAAACAAACAAAGAAAAAGAAACCGAAGATTAACGTTGCATCGACTGTCTGTGGTATGTGTACACTCGAATGTATAATATATATGACTACAACTTGACAAGCTGCTTTATAAACACAATTATAGGTTTGGATGTTCTGACAAGGCAACTGTTTTGTCCATGTGGTCGTAAGGCTTTCTTGAACTTACCTGGCGTTGGGTTTGCCATTGTAGACAGTTGGTTTTCAAGAGCTGTGAACTTCTGAAGCAGCGCAGTCTGTGACAGTGGCGCCCCTGATGCTGCTGGAATGATGGATGTTGTAAATAACAGACAGTTGTTGAGATACCCCCGCCCTCCTCCTCTTGGAGCACACTTAACATTTACACATAAGACCCGTGAAGATCCGGGGTAGAATAGATCTTCAGCAACCCATACTTGCCGTAAAAAGGCGACTATGCTTGTCGTAAGAGGCGACTAACGGGATTGGGTTGTCAGACTCGCTGACTTGGTTGATGCATGTCATCGTATCCCAATTACGTGGACCGATGTTCATGATGTCAATCACTGTATTGTCTGGTCAAGACTCGATTAATTACAGACCGCCGTCATATAGCTGGAATATTGCTGAGTGCGGCCTTAAACAACAAACAAACAACCAAAATATAGGGTATCCCATATTGTTGACGTTGAGATATTTGAACATTGGTGATTTGTTTTGAAAGAACAAAGCACGACTATCAAACGCAAGAGACTTCATGAACTAATTTCTTTCAACCCGCATAATAACCTTGAAATGCACCCGCCTTGTCCAATCCTCGACTGGTGTTTTTTTTTCTTTAAAATATCCATGAATTCATATCGAAGACGTCCCACTGGCATTTCAACATTAAGAGAATCGTTGAAGAAACTTTGACATATGGATTTTCCATATATAACATAAACAAAATGTGTCCTAGGTTGAATTTGAACTTACCTGGCTGTTGTGGAGGAAGGTCTTGCATGAAGGAGGTACGAGGTTGAGATTGGGCGGGGTGCATAAAAGATGCTGACTGTGATGGGTACATGAAGGCGGAATTTTGTTGTGTCTGTGGTTGGTACATGAAGGCGGAATTTTGTTGTGGCTGTGGTTGGTACATGAAGGCGGAAGTTGGTGGCGCCTGTGGTTGGTGCGTTGATTGGGGTTGTTTAAACTGCTGCTGTTGCTGCAACAACTGCATATATTGTTGTTCAAGTGTTAGCTGTGGCAGCGGTTGAGGTTGGGGCTGTGTCTGTTGCTGTGTCTGTTGCTGTTGCTGTTGCCGTTGCTGTTGCCGTTGCTGTTGCTGGTTGTTCATGTTAAACATCGATGTATCTGGCTGGCCGTTCATACCTGTTAATGAATTTACAGTAAATACACAGATGAAGTTATGCTCATTTTGCAAAGTTTCTATCATTGAGCGACAAGACATTAAAGTCTTTACAATAAAGGTCTAAACAATGGATATTACTTGCATAAACAATGGAAGTTACTTGTCTAAACAATGGATGTTACTTGTCTAAACGATGGATATTACTTGTCTAAAAAATGGATGTTACTTGTCTAAACAATCGATATTACTTGTCTAAACAAAGGATGTTACTTGTCTAAACAATGGCTATTACTTTTCTAAACAATGGATATCAAGTACAGGTGATTCCCGTGACTGCTGTGTGTTGCAGTCACGAACATTCTATATATATGACGACGGCCTGTATATAAAGAGTCTGCACCAGACCATCTAATGATTGATATTGTGAGCAACTATCCACTTAAGACTGAAGCTGATTTTCACAGGCCTCCACGACCTCCTTAGAGGGCAAATTACATTATCATACCTTCATATCAGAATGATGAGATCTGACTGATCTTGATAAAATACTGTGTAATCCGCCTCGGGTGGGTAATACATTTCTCAAGAGGGAATAAATCTCTTATAACCCGCCACGAGCAATACAGGCGGCACGTAATTCTAAGAGGCAGAATAAATCCCTTGTACCCCGCCACGAGCAATACAGGCTGCACGTGGATCCTAAGAGGCAGAATACATCCCTTATACCCCGCTTCAAAGCAAAACGCCGCACGCTTTTTCCGATTTAATGGAAGTCACTTGACATAGCACAAGTTTACCTCAGCTCCATCGAACAGCTGTTTTCTATCAATTTTGAATTTGTGTTAATTATTTACTAATGTCACATTAAACTACAACTCATATGATATTGTGAAATGTTAAAACCAGATCTTTACAAACAATATTTACCATGCATGTTCACCATCCTAGCGGCGTCGGGTAGAACTGGAGTAGGAGCGTGCATCATTCCTGTCAACCAACAAATAGACCGATAAGAGTGAGTGAATGAGTTGGGTTCAACGCCACTTTTAACAGGATTTGAAAATATATCGGGGCGTGTCAGATTGTTTGTTTTTACTTGCTGGGTGTCCTGAAAAACGATGCGTTGTTCAAATCTTTGTGTAAGGGTTTCACCCTTCAATGAGTGAGTGAGTGAGTATTGTTTTACGCCGCTTTTAAGCAATATTCCAGCAATATCACGGCGGGGGACACCAGAAATGGGCTTCACACATTATACCCATGTCGAGAATCGAAACCGGCTGACGAGCGAACGCTTTAACCACTAGGCTACCCAGTGGATGTCAGATGCCGCAAAGTGTTCTGTCTCAATGAACAGTGAACTGTTGATCCCCGCCCCCACCCCGTGCGAATATGAAATGGTTTGTCCCGTACCGAGGATATATATCTAATTTACAGGATTAACATACCATTCAATTGTTGTTGGGCCATTTGAAAGAGCTGCGGAGGCCACATGTTACTTGTCAGCTCAGCATGAGCTTGGTTGGCAGAGGCTTGTGTCCCCGGGAAGGACTGGTGGCGAGTCTGCTGGCTGCTGAAACCAGGCATCTGATGCTGTGGAAGCTGGGGCCATTGGTGGTTTGCTTGAGGGTTGCTCGGAGGGGATACTTGGAGATCTGGGTATGCTCCTCGCTGTTGGTTTCTTTGACCCAGCATCTGAGCTTCCATCTGCCGGTACATCATCTGCTGTGCCATCAGGGCAGCCTGCGATGGCGTGGTCGGTACTGCAGGCGGAGGTGGCTGAACCGGTTGAACAGGTTGAACTGGTTGAACCGGCTGAGCCAGTTGAACTGGTTGAGCTGGTTGAGCTGGTTGAGCTGGTTGAACTGGTTGAGCTGGTTGAACTGGTGGAACTGGTTGAACTGGTTGAACTGGTTGAGCTGGTTGAACTGGTTGAGCTAGTTGAACTGGTTGAACTGGTTGAACTGGTTGAACCGGCTGGGTTGCTTCAACTGGTGGGGTTGGTTGCTGTGGTTGACTTGGTTGACGTGGTTGTCCTGGTTGATCTGGCACATATTCTTGTTGGTTTGACGGTTGTGAAGGTGGCAACTGAACTGTGACGAAATAAGTTCAATAAGTATTATAAATAACTTTGAAAAACCACAAGTTTCTTGAGCAGAAATGCATTTTTATAAAAAAAAAATCTTTTTAGCAGAAATGCAGTTTATAAGTTCATATGTACAGCAATCAGTTGTTCTGTCCTTTCAATGTTTCATGCAACATGACCTATATGGCATACAGTTATATTTGCAATTTTTTGTTGTTGTACATTATTTCAAACATAGGCGTGTCAGTTAAAATGAGTGAGTATGGATTTACGCAGCTTTTAGCAATATTCCAGCAATATCACGGCGGGGGACACAAGAAATGGGCGTAACACATTGTTTCCATGTGGGGAATCGAAACAGTGTTTTCGGCGTGACGAGCGAACGCTTTAACCACTGGACTACCCCACTGCCCCGTGTCAGCATAATGTTGGCCAAACTTCCAAAGTGGGACAGGTTATTTACCATGTTTACCACTTTCATAAAACCTACGAGTTTTGGTATGGTACTGACAAAGTTTCATAATCAGGCGGTTCTTGGATTCGAACCCATTATCATCGGATTCTGGCATACTTATGGGGTGAAATTCTGCACAGCGAAATAATCTGACAATGTGGCTTCAGAAGACTATATTAGTAAGTTGGTATATTCCTTCATCATTATACATATATATATATATATATTTGGGGAGATTGTTACAGTCATGCATATTAGATGATTGAGGAGGAGGAGGAGGAGGAGCATGATAAAAGGTTTTGTTTTGTTGATTAAACCTGCACGCAGCACCATTCCAAATGTGTACCTATGTGTGTTTAGTTTCTTGTCTTGTGCCACGGTATCATAAGAATCGAGTAGGGACCAGATAAACCAGTGACTGAGAATATTAACAACAGAGTTGCCTTTTGTGGTGTCAGTCGGTGAGTGAGTATAATTTTACGAAGCTTGTAGCTATATTCCAGCAATATCACGGCGGGAGACGCCAGAAATGGACTTCACTCTTTGCAGCCATGTGGGGAATCGAACCCGGGCCTTATGCGCAAAGAGCCAACGGTTTAGGTACTAATGTGGTGTTAGGGGATACCAGACTGGCCACGGGATGGGAAGTTATGTAGGGTGACAGGGGCTCTGGATAATAGTGCAGGGGTTCAAAGTAGTGGGCAGTGGGATCAGAGTAGGGGGCAGGGGTTCAGAGTAGGGGACAGGGGTTCAGAGTAGTGGGCAGGGGTTCAGAGTAGGGTGTCAGGGTTTCAGAGTAGGGTGTCAGGGGTTCAGAGTAGGGTGTCAGGGGTTCAGATCAGGGTGTCAGGGGTTCAGAGTAGGGTGTAAGGGGTTCAGAGTAGGGTGTCAGGGGTTCAGAGTAGGGTGTAAGGGGTTCAGAGTAGGTTGTCAGGGGTTCAGAGTAGGATGTCAGGGGTTCATAGTAGGGTGTCAGGGGTTCAGAGTAGGATGTCAGGGGTTCAGAGTAGGATGTCAGGGGTTCAGAGTAGGATGTCAGGGGTTCAGAGTAGGATGTCAGGGGTTCAGAGTAGGATGTCAGGGGTTCAGAGTAGGGTGTCAGGGGTTCAGAGTAGGGTGTAAGGGGTTCAGAGTAGGATGTCAGGGGTTCAGAGTAGGGTGTAAGGGGTTCAGAGTAGGGTGTCAGGGGTCCAGAGTAGGATGTCAGGGGTTCAGAGTAGGATGTCAGGGGTTCATAGTAGGGTGTCAGGGGTTCAGAGTAGGATGTCAGGGGTTCAGAGTAGGATGTCAGGGGTTCAGAGTAGGATGTCAGGGGTTCAGAGTAGGATGTCAGGGGTTCAGAGTAGGGTGTCAGGGGTTCAGAGTAGTGGGCAGGGGTTCAGAGTAGGGTGTCAGGGGTTCAGAGTAGGATGTCAGGGGTTCAGAGTAGGATGTCAGGGGTTCAGAGTAGGGTGTCAGGGGTTCAGAGTAGGATGTCAGGGGTTCAGAGTAGGATGTCAGGGGTTCAGAGTAGGGTGTAAGGGGTTCAGAGTAGTGGGCAGGGGTTCAGAGTAGGGTGTCAGGGGTTCAGAGTAGTGGGCAGGGGTTCAGAGTAGTGGGCAGGGGTTCAGAGTAGGATGTCAGGGGTTCAGAGTAGGATGTCAGGGGTTCAGAGTAGGGTGTCAGGGGTTCAGAGTAGGATGTCAGGGGTTCAGAGTAGGGTGTCAGGGGTTCAGAGTAGGATGTCAGGGGTTCAGAGTAGGATGTCAGGGGTTCAGAGTAGGATGTCAGGGGTTCAGAGTAGGGTGTCGGGGGTTCAGAGTAGGGTGTCAGGGGTTCAGAGTAGGATGTCAGGGGTTCAGAGTACGATGTCAGGGGTTCAGAGTAGGGTGTCAGGGGTTCAGAGTAGGATGTCAGGGGTTCAGAGTAGGATGTCAGGGGTTCAGAGTAGGGTGTCAGGGATTCAGAGTAGGGTGTCAGTGGTTCAGAGTAGGGTGTCAGGGGTTCAGAGTAGGATGTCAGGGGTTCAGAGTAGGATGTCAGGGGTTCATAGTAGGGTGTCAGGGGTTCAGAGTAGGATGACAGGGGTTCAGAGTAGGATGTCAGGGGTTCAGAGTAGGATATCAGGAGTTCAGAGTAGGGTGTCAGGGGTTCAGTGTAGGGTGTCAGGGGTTCAGAGTAGGATGTCAGGGGTTCAGAGTAGGATGTCAGGGGTTCAGAGTAGGATGTCAGGGGTTCAGAGTAGGATGTCAGGGGTTCAGAGTAGGGTGTCAGGGGTTCAGAGTAGGGTGTCAGGGGTTCAGAGTAGGGTGTCAGGGGTTCAGAGTAGGATGTTAGGAGTTCAGAGTAGGATGTCAGGGGTTCAGAGTAGGATGACAGGGGTTCAGAGTAGGATGTCAGGGGTTCAGAGTAGGATATCAGGGGTTCAGAGTAGGATGTCAGGGGTTCAGGGCTGGATGCCTTGCGGTTGAGAGTAGAGTGGGGGTTCGGAGTACAGGTGCTGGATAGTGCGTCTTGCGGTTCGGGGTAGGGTGCAGGGGTTGAGGGTACAAGGGTTCATCTGTGGGGATGATACTGGTACCTGAGAATCCGAACGGGAAATATGCTCCCCCCAGTGCATTTACTGTCAGAAATGAAATTGAAACGGTTTGAAACAGTCAACATTTTGGAGACAAACTCGTGATCATGGTATGTCACACACTACACAAACAGGCGTGAGACCATGTACAGTTGACGAGTGTATCCAAATCGGAAGAAAACAGATCGGTTCTGATACCTGCAGCCAACAGAATTTGACCAGTGGTTGTATAATCAAGAAACACAAGAAACATACCCTGTGATGACACCACACTAAGTTGTGAAAGTTCAGAAAGTTTCATAAGACTATGGAAAGAAAGAGGGAAATGTGGTTCAGGTCGTCAAAGTTTACAACCATGATGAGCCCACGAGCTTGGACATCTTGCATGAGAGATTCGAACCAATGGACAGCGGATCCTGGCACGCATAAGGGAAGGGATGGGGGGGGGGGGGGGGGGGTGTACTAGAATAGTTGTTTCAACTTTACTTATCTCTCCCATAGAGTTTCAACAACTGTTCCACAATTACCACATGTCGTTACAGGCGTCACAATGCTGACATAAACACGGATAACTGTTTTTAAGGGATGGGGGGAGGAATGGGGAGGAGGGTACTAGAATAGTTGTTTTAACTTTACTTATCTCTCCCATGGAGTTTCAACAACTATCCCACAATTACCACAAGTCGTAACAGGCGTCACAATGCTGACATAAACACGGATGTCAATCACATCTGCAAATCAGCTTGCACTGACGTAAATATAAATTTGCCGTTATTGGCGTTTTAGCTCGATGGTCTATTCCTGAAATATTAATTCTTTATCTGCTGGGACAAATTGACATATTTTAAATATATGACTCAGTATTTCACGATGGCGAAATTAACATGTTTTCCTACTTGAAATGATGATAATTCAGTAACGATTGTAACAGTAAAAGGTAAGTTTTATTAATGATATTTGCTAATATATTGACTAGTGAACAATCCCAATTAGCACCCCTTCCGATTGATCAATGTACACAAGACTTATTTGTTCGTGTATAATACGCATTCGAGTGTTATATGCACCCTTAATTATGGGCAATTCAATTCTGGGAAAATATATCTGTCGTATATAAACAGTTCAGACTGTCAGCATAAACCACGAAATTTATCTTTTCACCAAAATAATTTTCTAATAAGAGCCCTCTATTTCTAATTTTGAGAGCGCCCTTGACGCTTATTACGTCGAATACGGTGTATATTCCTCTAGGGGGAGCGACACGAGCTTCGTCAAATGCATTGTATACTCACAAGGATCTAACAATATGTCTACTCTTACCTACACTACACGTTTAGCTGTAGTAAAGAAGGCGTCATATCATCTCACCATACATTATAAAAATGACGTCATCAATAGATGTTGACGTCATCACAAACTGTGACGTAATAGCAAATTTTCTATTGCGTCAGAATAAAAATTACCAAATCTGATTATTCCAGTCACGTGGTAGTATGCATGAAATCTTTATCTACATGTGTTTTATTAACTCGGTAATATTGAACTAAAGCTATGATGATGCGTACCCAATTCTTGATTTGTACCTGTTGGTGACGTTCCCTGTGCTGGGCTAGCGGTTGGTGCTGGGTTCGAGCCTTGTGCCTGGGATGTGCTGATGGCAACGTTAACTGGGGGATGGGCGGATGTGGGTGCAGGCGGACTCATGGTACTGAATGTCGTTTGTGTGGAGAATTGACTTGGTTGTTGCGTTGGTGAAGCACCTTGACAAGAAAAGTGATAATTTAGTGTTAATGTGCAAATTGAGAGATGCTTACTATTACGATAGACGGTACTGTGAGGATTACTAAACATAATGTCGCCAGTACGACCTAAGTGAGTGATTGAGTGTGTGAGTGAGTTGGGTTTAACGCCGCTTTTAACATTATTCCAGTTATATCACGGCGTGTCAGCTTACTATGGGTGTAAAGCCCGAAGTGATGCAGGTCTCAGACGTTTACCACTTTGGTGAAACCCACGATCACGAGTATGGTGCTGACAAACCTAGAAACATAATTGGGGTGAACCGGGATTCGAACCCACAATCATAGATTCCTGGCGTGTCCAAGGGACGCAACTCTGCACAGCGAATCGCGGCGCTTTAGGCGCTTTTTTTACATACTCAATATGCAGAGAACTGCAGTACCTCAAAGGTAAAGTTGCTGGCACCGTGCCAACCTTTTCGACGTACAGGCCAGCCACCGACTTATATACGATTTTACATGACGGCAACTGACCAATCAGATTGATTGATTCTATGTCGAGTAGTGATATTTACTGAACGCTTGTAGCGCGATATTTCGGGTCAATGTTCTTCGACGGCCACAAACGCACAAGAAAATGCTTTGTAATCCGTCTACAGTAATTCAAACACAATACTAGTAGATTAAATCTTACATTGTGTTTTTTTGCTTAGACCTTTCCTTGTTAGTACTGTACCGGAATGAATGCGGCAGGCATTGTTGTTTTTATCTAATACTATATTTGTGCTTATTGTATTTTCATGCTCCGTACTTACCCGCTGATCCGTGCATTTGGGAATTAAGTTGGGAATTCATGGCTGCAATGAAGCAAAACACACATATTATTTAATCAAAATATTTATTAAAAATAAGGTCATACTAAATTATCTTAGCTCTTAAGATGTTCTGTGAAAAACTGTTGTCCCTGAAAGATATTGCAAATACAGAAAACTACGGTTATAACGAACACGCTTATAACGAACTGACGAATATAACGAACTTACTTTTTGAACCCGACTACTTGCTGTAGGCATGCTGTATATGTACTTATAACGAACTACGGTTATAACGAACTTACCTTTTGGACCCGACTACTTGCTGTAGTCATACTGTATATGTACTTATAACGAACTACGGTTATAACGAACTAAAATTAGTAGTCCCTTTGAGTTCGTTATAACCGTAGTTTATTGTAGCTGAATAATATCTTTCATTATCACATTAGAATATAAACAATTACAAAAGCCTAATGTGGCCGCTTTGATAGTATAATTATTTTCCATTATTTCAATAACTTATTGTTTTACTCGTAATTCCGATCATTTTTTCGTTATGTTAATTATTTTAATAACTAAAACAATACTAAATTTGGAGTGTAGTCGAAATTACGAGAAAATAATTTCAATATATGGTTTTAAATAATCGAAGTCATGAAATGTTGGTCACCATTGAAATTGGATCTTGCTTGCTGCATCATGGCCTCATATTGAGCTGAAACAGAAACATCAGTTCAACATTGGTTTCCCTGAAGTTGAGTATACCAGCACAGTAGATATTTATAATCAGACACAATCTTGGATCAGTAAAGGTATATGTTAAAAAACGCGTTATTCTCAAGTTTATTTTTTATATATTTTAGCAATGTTATCTATAATTAAAAATATGTAAATGTCAAATATACTGAGGGTAAATTCTAAAAACACGTCACAAACACAGATATTCCTCGAAGCACTAAGCACCCGCAAAACACAGCCCCTAAATTCCATGTTATTCCATTGGTTAGTTTATGTTTCCATAAATATAATCTAGGCCACGCCTACTATCGCACTGCTCTGTTCTGATTGGTCGAGCTTGTGTCACATGATTGCCATGAACGATGTCACTGATTTCGCATCGATGTCAACAGTTTTTGTGATAATAATCAAATATGCAACCTATAAAGTTTTTTTACTTATATAATTATAAGAAAACACGTAAACATTTTGATTTATGTGTCTGATTGAGAGGCGTAGAATGTTAGAGTATACACATGAAAGCTCCATGATAAGAGTGGAACAGGCACTACATTATAGCTGTGAATGCGACACCACATACAGGTGTATTACTTCCAGTTTGATTATGGCACTGGGTGCCGTTGTACAAAGCGATCTTAACGTTAAGCTGATCGTAACTCCCACACCTTAACATAGGCGTACTACAGTCGTAGCCCTACGGTCCTCAAGAGTGAGTGAGTGAGTTGGGTTTAACGCCGCTTTTAACATTATTCCAGTTATATCGCGGCGTGTCAGCTTAATGTGGGAGGAAAGCCCGAAGTGATGCAGGTCTCAGACATTTACCACTTCGGTGAAACCCACGAGCACGGGCATGGTGCTGACAAACCTAGAAACATACTCGGGGCGAACCGGGATTCAAACCCACAATCATAGGTTTCTGGCGTGCCCAAGGGACGCAACTCTGCACAGCGAATCGCGGCGCCTTAGACGACTGGGCAACCCGTGCCCCCTGGTCCTCAAGAAGACATTGAAAGAAAATCACAAGCAGCCACAGTTAATGAACTTTGGTTGCAGTAACCATAGGTACCATTTGTCTGATTCACAGTTCCTGAATTTGTGAATAATACTACCCATTTACCAACAGGCATTAGAAGTAGATGATACCCTGCCCAATATACGCTACTATTAGAAGCAATGGACGCATAACGACTTCTCAGCTGTGACTAGGGTTACCATAGATACCATTTGTCTGGTTCCCAGTTCCAGTTTCATTTAAAGCCTGGTCTTTAAAAGAAAATATTTAACACTCAATTTAACAGTGTATACACGCCCTGTGTTAAGATGCTAAAATGTTTGAGTGAGTGGGTATGTTTTAACGCCGCTTTTAGCAATATTCCAGCAATATCACGTCGAGGGACTCCAGAAATTGGCTTCCCACTTGGTACCCATCTTCGGCGTGACGAGCAAGCGCTTAAACCACTTGGCTGCCCCTCCGCACCTACATTGTTTGAGATGGGTGACACACTCACTGACACTATGCTTATTATTTTGTGTTTGTCAGATCCCCAGCTGCAGGGGCCATAAGAAAAATAAAACACTCTAATTAACAACAGGTTCTTAAAAGATAATGTATTTTGGTATAAATTTTTAGATGAGAAGTCACAGAAACCGATTTAGGTTTAAGACTTACCGGCTGCTTGTTGCATCATTGCGAACTGTGCACCTGAAACCGAACAAGATAAAAGACGTGAATTCGTGGCATTACTGTATCTATTTGTTTTGGGTCCCGGATCCGAGACGTCAATAGACGCCGACTCAAAACTGAATCAGCAAAGTCGCTGGTAGGTTTCTAGTACACACTGGGTCTCCCGGGAAATCTGCTGACGCATATTGACAAATATGATCTCCAATGCAGTTCCCTTTTTTGACTTACTATATGACTTTACCATATGTTCCCGTGTTTCTCAGGTGAACACTTGACTTGCCTGTGCATGTGTTTGTAATGGGTGCCTACGGCGGTGCAGGATACGCTTACCTTTTCGGGAACACCTGGTATCACCACTACTTGATAATGATTCAAATGCATATGATATAGTCGAAATTGAACAATCTACTCGCTTTTTGCAGAGATTTCTTATGAATATGGAAATGGTTTTGTCGGTTTAATTCTTGATTCATGGCAGGAGGGCAAAATTGAAGTAATGAGAACCATTTTCTTAGATTGGCATCATTTCAGAGATGACAAAAAGTTATAATTATACAGACTGGCTCATGTCATATAACGTCAGTACCCACCATTTGGTTGCATCATCATCTGTGCATCTGAAAAGACACATGGAAGAAAACATGAATGGTTCGGCGTGATGAAACTCAGCGTTTGGAGACATGTATAGCTAAATAAAAGCAATGACCAGTTACTTTGAAAAGATGTATCATCAAGACAACAGGCAATGTATAAAGTTTCCTTTGGATAATTGTGTTTTTTCCTTTACGGTCAGAATATTAAATGTTATTCTATATGAGTACATTTCTGAAAAGAGGTGAAGAGGGAAATTGTTCATTAAAACACACATCATGGCCATCGGAACGTACAGTCAGCAAGTGTATAACCATAATAAAGTTGTCCAGCAACAATGCTACATTTCCCCATTATAGTTACATATTACTAATTACCCCATACCACTATTCTAAACTACTGACACCAAAGCATCTAAAAGCATCCATTTCAAGCAATGGCAAACAAAATCAATCCACATCTCGACTAAATATGGAGTTTGTGTGTTTGTATGTTTGTTGTTTAACGCCGCACTTAGTTCTATTCCAGCTACGTGACGGCGGTCTGAAAATAATCGAGTCTGGACCAGACTATCCAGAGATTGACGTCATGAGCATCCATCTACGCAATTGCCAGGCATCAACCACGTCAGCGACGAGCCTGACCACCCGATCCCCTTAGTCGCCTCTCACGACAAGCATAGTCGCCTTTTACGGCAAGCATGGGTTGCTGTAGACCACTTCTAATCCGGATATTCACGAGACTTATTAGTAGTGAGTGAGTGAGCGTTGCAGCTTGACACAGGAGGTCATTCAGGTCTTCCACTTTGGTGAAACACATGAGCACACACCGTGAAACATTATAAGGTTTAAAATAATAAACAAAGCCTTCACTCCACACACACAGAGCAAACACTATATACAGTGCATAGTAGTACGCACTTACCACCGACAATAACACATTGAACTACAACAAAGCAAATAGCACCCTTCCCAAGAATGTGCACATATAGCAAGCAAGCGTACACTATTTATCAGCTGTGATTAATGTACGGGTTTGCTTGATTCACAGATCCAGAAGCGATGCACAATATTTGCCACTTATCAACAGGCACATCTACGGAGAAGCAAAACCGATAATTCCCTTCCCAAGAATCTGCACATATAGCAAGCAAGCGTACACTATTTATCAGCTGTGATTAATGAGTGCTTGATTAACAGTTCCAGAAGCAATGCACAACCGATCATTCCCTTCCCAAGAATCTTCATTCATGGAAGCAATGGTGGCATACACTACTTATCAGCATGATTATCGTAACCATAGATACCATTTGTCTGGTTCCCAGTTCCAGTTTGATTTGTTGTCTTGTCTTTAAAAACATAAAACAATGCACAATATTTAGTACTTAAGTACGTTTGAATTAAAGATTGTTTGGTTTAAAGATTAGGTTTACAAGAGGCAGCACCGTCCAATTCACGTTTCCATCTCGTTTGATAAGTCGTTGGGATTAGAACAAAGAGCATTGTCTGTGCAATCATTAACTGCAAGATTGACATGCATCATAGTGTCGGAGTGTTTGGGTAAGAATTAAATAGTGTTTGGGTAAGAATTAAACAGTGTTGGAGTAAAAATTAAACAGTGTTAGAGTAAGAATTAAACAATGTTGGAGTAAGAATCAAACAGTGTTAGAGTAAGAATTAAACGGTGTTGGAGTAAGAATCAAACAGTGTTAGAGTAAGAATTAAACAGTGTTGGAGTAACATTTAAACAGTGTTGGAGTAAGAATTCAACAGTGTTGGAGTAAAATTTAAACAGTGTTGGAGTAAGAATTTAACAGTGTTAGAGTAAGAATTAAACAATGTTGGAGTAAGAATCAAACAGTGTTAGAGTAAGAATTAAACGGTGCTGGAGTAAGAACTAAACGGTGTTGGAGTAAGAAGTAAACAGTGTTGGAGTAAGATTTAAACAGTGTTGGAGTAAGAATTCAACAGTGTTGGAGTAAAATTTAAACAGTGTTGGAGTAAGAATTTAACAGTGTTAGAGTAAGAATTAAACAATGTTGGAGTAAGAATTAACAATGTTAGAGTAAGACTTAAACAGTCTTAGAGTAAGAGATAAACAGTGTTAGAGTAAGAAATAAACAGTGTTAGAGTAAGAATTAAACAGTGTTGGAGTAAAAATTAAACAGTGTTAGAGTAAGAATTAATCAATGTTTGATTTAGAATTAACAGCGTTGGAGTAAGAATTAACAATGTTGGAGTAAGAATTAAACAGTGTTGGAGTAAGAATTAAACAGTGTTAGAGTAAGAATTAAACAGTGTTGGAATAAGATTTAAACAGTGTTGGAGTAAGAATTAAACAGTGTTAGAGTAAGAATTAAACAGTGTTGGAGTAAGAATTAAACAGTGTTGGAGTAAGAATTAAACAATCTTGGAGTAAGAATTAACAGTGTTGGAGTAAGAATTAAACAGTAATGGAGTAAGATTTAAACAGTGTTGGAGTAAGAATAAAACAGTTTTGGAGTAAGAATTTAACAGTGTTGGAGTAAGAATTAAACAGTGTTAGAGTAAGAATTAATCAATGTTTGAGTAAGAATTAACAGTGTTGGAGTAAGAATTAAACAGTGTTTGAGTAAGAATTAAACAATGTTGGAGAAAGAATTAAACAGTGTTGGAATAAGATTTAAACAGTGTTGGAGTAAGAATTAAACAGTGTTGGGGTAGAATTAAACAGTGTTAGAGTAAAAATTAAACAGTGTTGGAGTAAGAATTAAACAGTGTTTGGAGTAAGAATTAAACAGTGTAAGAGTAAGAATTAATCAATGTTTGAGTAAGAATTAACAATGTTGTAGTAAGAATTAAACAGTGTTGGAGTAAGAATTAAACAGTGTTTGAGTAAGAATTAAACAGTGTTAGATTAAGAATTAAACAGTGTTGGAGTAAAAATTAAACAGTGTTTGAGTAAGAATTAAACAATGTTGGAGTAAGAATTAAACAATGTTGGAGTAAGAACTAAACAGTGTTAGAGTAAGAATTAAACAGTGTTTGAGTAAGAATTAACAATGTTGTAGTAAGAATTAAACAGTGTTGGAGTAAGAATTAAACAGTGTTTGAGTAAGAATTAAACAGTGTTAGATTAAGAATTAAACAATGTTGGAGTAAGATTTAAACAGTGTTGGAGTAACATTTAAACAGTGTTTGAGTAAGATTTAAACAGTGTTGGAGTTAGAATTAATCAATATTTTAGTAAGAATTAACAATGTTGGAGTAAGAATTAAACAATGTTAGAGTAAGAATTAAACAGTGTTAGAGTAAGAATTAAACAGTGTTGGAGTAAGATTTAAACAGTGTTGGAGTAATAATTAAACAGTGTTGGAGTAAAATTTAAACAGTGTTAGAGTAAGAATTAACAGTGTTAGAGTAAGAATTAACAGTGTTGGAGTAAGAATTAAACAATGTTAGAGTAAGAATTAAACAATGTTTGAGTTAGAATTAACAATGTTGGGGTAAGAATTAAACAGTGTTAGAGTAAGAATTAAACAGTGTTCGAGTAAGAATTAACAGTGTTAGAGTAAGAATTAACAGTGTTGGAGAATGAATTAAACAATGTTGTAGTAAGAATTTAACAGTGTTGGAGTAAGAATTAAACAGTGTTAGAGTAAGAATTAATCAATGTTTGAGTAAGAATTAAGAGTGTTGGAGTAAGAATTAAACAGTGTTTGAGTAAGAATTAAACAATGTTGGAGTAAGAATTAAACAGTGTTGGAATAAGATTTAAACAGTGTTGGAGTAAGAATTAAACAGTGTTGGGGTAAGAATTAAACAGTGTTAGAGTAAAAATTAAACAGTGTTGGAGTAAGAATTAAACAGTGTTTGGAGTAAGAATTAAACAGTGTAAGAGTAAGAATTAATCAATGTTTGAGTAAGAATTAACAATGTTGGAGTAAGAATTAAACAGTGTTTGAGTAAGAATTAAACAGTGTTTGAGTAAGAATTAAACAGTGTTAGATTAAGAATTAAACAATGTTGGAGTAAGATTTAAACAGTGTTGGAGTAAGATTTAAACAGTGTTTGAGTAAGATTTAAACAGTGTTTGGAGTAAGAATTAAACAGTGTTTGGAGTAAGAATTAAACAGTGTAAGAGTAAGAATTAATCAATGTTTGAGTAAGAATTAACAATGTTGGAGTAAGAATTAAACAGTGTTTGAGTAAGAATTAAACAGTGTTGGAGTAAGAATTAAACAGTGTTTGGAGTAAGAATTAAACAGTGTAAGAGTAAGAATTAATCAATGTTTGAGTAAGAATTAACAATGTTGGAGTAAGAATTAAACAGTGTTTGAGTAAGAATTAAACAGTGTTTGAGTAAGAATTAAACAGTGTTAGATTAAGAATTAAACAATGTTGGAGTAAGATTTAAACAGTGTTGGAGTAAGATTTAAACAGTGTTTGAGTAAGATTTAAACAGTGTTTGGAGTAAGAATTAAACAGTGTAAGAGTAAGAATTAATCAATGTTTGAGTAAGAATTAACAATGTTGGAGTAAGAATTAAACAGTGTTTGAGTAAGAATTAAACAGTGTTTGAGTAAGAATTAAACAGTGTTAGATTAAGATTTAAACAGTGTTTGAGTAAGATTTAAACAGTGTTGGAGGAGGAATTAATCAATATTTTAGTAAGAATTTAACAGTGTTGGAGTAAGAATTTAACAGTGTTGGAGTAAGATTCAAACAGTGTTGGAGTAAGATTTAAACAGTGTTGGAGTAAGATTTAAACAGTGTTGGAGTAATAATTAAACAGTGTTGGAGTAAAATTTAAACAGTGTTGGAGTAAGAAATAACAGTGTTAGAGTAAGAATTAACAGTGTTGGAGTAAGAATTAACTGTGTTGGAGAAAGAATTAAACAATGTTGTAGTAAGAATTAAACAGTGTTGGAGTAAGAATTAAACAGTGTTTGAGTAAGAATTAAACAGTGTTTGAGTAAAAATTAAACAGTGTTTGAGTAAGAATTAAACAATGTTGGAGTAAGAATTAAACAATGTTGGAGTAAGAACTAAACAGTGTTAGAGTAAGAATTAACAGTGTTGGAGTAAGAATTAACTGTGTTGGAGAAAGAATTAACAATGTTGGAGTAAGAATTAAACAGTGTTGGAGTAAGAATTAAACAGTGTTTGAGTAAGAATTAAACAGTGTTTGAGTAAAAATTAAACAGTGTTTGAGTAAGAATTAAACAATGTTGGAGTAAGAATTAAACAATGTTGGAGTAAGAACTAAACAGTGTTGGAGTAAAATTTAAACAGTGTTAGAGTAAGAATTAACAGTGTTAGAGTAAGAATTAACAGTGTTGGAGTAAGAATTAACAGTGTTGGAGAAAGAATTAAACAATGTTGTAGTAATAATTAAACAGTGTTTGAGTAAGAATTAAACAGTGTTAGAGTAAGAATTAAACAATGTTTGAGTTAGAATTAACAATGTTGGGGTAAGAATTAAACAGTGTTAGAGTAAGAATTAAACAGTGTTCGAGTAAGAATTAACAGTATTAGAGTAAGAATTAACAGTGTTGGAGAATGAATTAACAGTGTTGGAGTAAGAATTAACTGTGTTGAAGAAAGAATTAAACAATGTTGTAGTAAGAATTAAACAGTGTTGGAGTAAGAATTAAACAGTGTTTGAGTAAGAATTAAACAGTGTTGGAGTAAAAATTAAACAGTGTTTGAGTAAGAATTAAACAATGTTGGAGTAAGAATTAAACAATGTTGGAGTAAGAACTAAACAGTGTTAGAGTAAGAATTAAACAGTGTTGTAGTAAGAAATAAACAGTGTTGGAGTAAGAATGTAACAGTGTTGGAGTAAGAATTAAACAATGTTAGAGTAAGAATTAAACAGTGTTGGAGTAAGAAGTCAACCAGTGTTAGCTTAAAAAGTCAAAAAGTGTTCGCGTAAGAAGATACGCAGAGTTGGAGTAAGAAGGTAAATAGTTGTTTCTCAATTAATTCATGTGCATTTTATGGGTCTAGTACATGTCCGGGTCTAGTATCCAATAGGTTGATTAACCGAACACTATGAACATACCAGCTGTTTGCTGCATCATTGACGCACCTGGAACCGAGAATAAAAAGCACATTACCCTTACATGACATGCCAAATGCGTTTGTAAAGCAGTGAAATGACACAACATTGACTTACCCAGGCGCAGCATGTACATATGGATTGTGTATTATGATTGGTATGTTTGTGCTATAAAATACTAAAAGCATAAATGTGCGGGTAGTCACTGTGCCAATATTGTACATTCTACGTTTTGTGACGACCTTGAGAAAGTGAAACACATTGTTTTTTTGCAGGCACTGAAACATGAACAACATATGTAGTGACTCGCTGTCTTGAGCACTTCCAAACGTACGGTGTTAAATGGACGTGTTGTCCAATATTTCAGAACATGTGCCATGTCAACTGTATTGCGGCTTGCACATGCATATTTCACTTTCGGAAACATTTATTATCATTTTAAAACAGGAAGTCTGGATTGTTTCCATCAGTTACCCAATAAGTCATGCAAAATTCTGTTTAAACGCTTTTTCCGTGTAGCGACATTTGTCGTGGGTGACAAGTCTCGTCATCAATCAAGCTTCGTGACAGAATACAACTGTGATGGATACAACATGACTGGATCCCTTGGATCACGAACTTTTGCCAAAAATAGTTTCGGAGACAAAACGTCCGTTATAAATATTATTTAATATACATCCTATGTGAAACTGGTATAGGATGCCTCCTTGTTGAATTACAGTTGCAAAGAAAAAGAAGGACTATGTTCATTATTTTCTTTCTTTTTTGTTTAAGGCCGTACAATATTCCAGGCTTATAACACTTTTATACAGCCAGATCAGAAAATTCACTGATTGATATAATGAGCATCAGTCCACGTCATCGGGGTGAAATGGCAAGGCCCGGTGAGGATCAGGGTTAGAATGGGTCTTCCATAACCACGCTCATCATAAGTGCCGACTCAGGGGATCGGGTGGTCAGGCGCACTGAATTGGTTGATACATGTGATCCCATTTGCGTAGACCGATGCTCATGATGTCAATCCCTGGGTTGTCTGATCCAGACGTGATTATTTGCAAGGCGCTGACATATACATGTAGACGGAATATTTCTCTTTGCGGCGTTAAACACAAACAAACAAACAAACAAACAAGCATTGCATGGTCCTTGTTCATTCAGTTGTATCATGTTTTCATATGGGTCCCATCTCGCGACCAGCAGAGTTTGATTTAGGCTTAGTTTAACCTAGAATGCGATACCAAGACGCAGTTTACATGGCTACTCAGACACAGTATACTCCGAGCCGACCAGTCCTTGTTTAATCCCCTCAACGCCGAGTGGCAGACAGGGTTACAAGTCCCACTTTTAACTTTTAGTAAGACGCAGCCGGGGTTCGAACCACCGACCTTCCGCTCTCACACTTAATGCCAAGCGCCAGGAAGGGTAACAACAAATACCTTCTTTTAACGCCTTTTAGTATTGCGCGGCCGGGAATAGAACACCGACCTTACAAGTCATTACAGGGTGACATTACCTGCTTGTCCGGTTTGGCCCTGCGCAAGTTGTCCAGCAGACTGCGGTGCATTGCCACCTTGAGAAATAACAGAAAATATACACCAGTACTGTCACACGCACTCATGCAATCGTACGTCGTCTGATGTGAATGTGTGTAGGTCTTTAGGAATGTGTGTTGGTCTCTAGGAATGTGTGAAGGTCTCTAGGAACGAGTGTAGGCCACTAGAAATGTGTGTAGGTCACTAGATGTGTGTAGGTCTCTAGGAATGTCTGTAGGTGGTCTGGGAATGTTCGTAGGACTCTTAATATGTGTAGGTGTCCAGGAATGTGTGTAGGCCTCCAGGAATGTGAAAATAACAAAAAATATACACCAGTACTGTCACACGCACTCATGCAATCGTACGTCGTCTGATGTGAATGTGTGTAGGTCTCTAGGAATATGTGTAGGTCGCTAGGAATGTGTGTTAGTCTCTAGGAATGTCTGTAGGTCTCTAGCAATGTGCGTAGGCCTCTAGGAGTATGTGTAGGTCTCTAGGAATGTGTGTAGGCCTCCAGTAATGTGGACATAACAGAAAATATACACCAGTACTGTCACACGCGTTCATGCAATCGTACGTCGTCTGATGTGAATGTGTGTAGGTCTCTAGGAATGTGTGTAGGTCGCTAGGAATGTGTGTTGGTCTATAGGAATGTGTGTTGGTCTCTAGCAATGTGAGTAGGCCTCTAGGAATGTGTTTAGGTCTCCAGGAAAGTGACCATCGTTACAGACAGACATATCACAGGTAACGCTGTATGAAAGGAAGTTATCAAGCGATACCAAATGGCTTGAAGACCTAAAGTAGCCCGTAACCTAAATATATATGTCATAATGGAATGAACTTTCTGCCCAAGACACCAGTGTTACAATTGCTAGTTATGCCCAGTGTTGTACAAAAACATGACGTAAGCGTTTTAACGAAAGCTTATTTCCGGTGTTGAGAAGCGTGTTGAATAAACACTCGCTGTATACCTTTAATATCTCTAAAGAAAAGGATGCTCTGTAATGTAACATATGAACATACCTTGGTTGGTTCCCTGTGACATGGCGAAGAAGCCGCTTGGTTGCCAAGACGTAGTGGGCATTCCGACTGAAACAGATTATATAGAGAGTGAGTGAGTGAATTTCGTGGAACTCCGCTTTGAGCAATATTAAGTTATATCTCAGCGTGGTAGCTTAATGTGCAAGAGACGCTGGAAGTGAACTAGGATGAACGGTTTTATGCGTTTCCCACTATGATGAACGGTGTTATGCGTTTATCACTAAGATGAACGGTTTTATGCGTTTCCCACTATGATGAACGGTGTAATGCGTTTATCAATAAGATGAATGGTGTTATGCGTGTTCCACTATGATGAACGGTGTCATGCGTTTATCACTAAGATGAACGGTTTTATGCGTTTCCCACTATGATGAACGGTGTCATGCGTTTATCACTAAGATGAATGGTTTTATGCGTGTTCCACTATGATGAACGGTGTCATGCGTTTATCACTAAGATGAACGGTCTATGCGTTTTCCACTATGATGAACGGTGTCATGCGTTTATCACTAAGATGAACGGTTTTATGCGTTTTCCACTATGATGAACGGTGTCATGCGTTTATCACTAAGATGAATGGTTTTATGCGTTTTCCACTATGATGAACGGTGTCATGCGTTTATCACTAAGATGATCGTTTTTTATGCTTCAGATAACTAGATAACGAGTATCGACAAATACATGTCTTGACCGCTTTAAGCCCCTCTTCAATAGTGCCACAATTTCAAGTCTTCACCATCCTCGGTGATCCAGGGTATTGCATCTCCATTACGAACCCTAGACCCATTGGCGGCCGTATACAACATACTGCGTGTTGAAGACACATTAATTGATAGGCGGTTAATGTTCAATCACTGTCTCCTACGACGACCCACAAACACAGACACGGCCCATATACATAAATGAGGTTAATGAGAAAAGATCCTGGACATTAATGACCTTGTGACAAGTCAACATCCGTACATGGAAAAGGACATGGTTTGTTTCAGATCCTGGTACACTATATTTCTATATCTTCTTCCTAACCTTCCTAAAAAACACAATGCATCCACCATACCGACATCTAAATAAAAGCGATAAAACTCTTTACATAATCATAAGAGATCTCTCCTAAAGGCAGAGTCCATTGTACGATTCCGACTATATCATGAGCATGTGTTTATAAATTACTATCAAAGAGTGATGAAACGAGGTGTTTGCGAATAAGGGAGCGTACCCAGGTCCACCAGTGGCACCCGTCACAAATACAACTGCTTCAGGGCTTAATTGAGTATTAAGGCAATCAAGCACTCATATGCAAACAGTCTACAATTCAACAAAATGTAAATTCAGTACATGTTCTGTAAACATGGTCAACCAGTAAGAAATTACATCCAACAGAACCATTTTCAGCTAAAACGCAGCTTCTCAATTAATTCTTCAAATCTCTGAGGGCATTACATTTGATCATCGTGTTGCATTATTTATAAACTTCGTGACTTGGATTACCAGGCTGTTCTATACCACGTCTTAGTTGTGACGATGGCTTGAACACGATGTTTTTGTTAACAATAAAGGGATTATTCAAACCTGACAGACTGACATCTGACGGAGAGGAGACGTGCTCTGATATATCAGAATATTACTTAACACTGTCCTATGTTCATGTCCCACAAAGTGGTATTCGACAGCTGGTCGACACAACGTCTACACCTGACAGAAGCACAGACAAGAGCCCTTCAGATTCAGATTCAGATTCAGATGTAGAGCATACGTTGTTATGGGAACTGTGTCCGCAACATTCGTATTATCCTTCACGTTTTGTGAACACCTGATGTCTACATTTTATTGTTCAAAACTGACTTCCACGGGAGATAGGGGGAAAATGTAACAAATTGGTCGGCAAATGCTTCCAGATACACTTACGCGCCAAGTAGAACAAGTGACCGCAGTTAAACCTTCAAGGTCCCTCAGTACGTGGAGCTTACGTATTCATGACCCGTCAGTATAATACGCAGGACGCAATTAAATGGTATTTGGTATGCAGAGTTAACATTTACAAAATCAAAGTGTACGTAAGATTTCCTTTATATAGTTTATTTTTCAATGTTTTGTAAATCATTTAAATTCAAATCGTACCCTGTTACTACCTGGGGTTTCTTGAGAGATTTGTGTTATGTATTATTCGGGACTCAGGGGAGAGAAAATGAGACTTAGCGTGACAAAATGGATGGCATTCGGCATTCAGGTGAGTAGGGGGTTGGCAGCCCTAAATTGTCTGTCCCATATTTGAAACCTTATCGCATACAAACAGACACACACACAGACACACACACAGACACACACACACACACACACACACACACACACACACACACACACACACACACACACACACACACACACACACACACACATACATACATACAAACATACATACATACATATGCTTAATGAACTGGCTCAGGTAAAGTGCCTTCTCGCATGTACATATTAATGCACAAGATTGATCGATGTCGTGTCCTCCTGACATTTTCACCTAGCAATATTAATTACTCGTAAGTTTATAGTTCAAGAAAAAAGAATTGATAAATCTATTAAACTAAGACAAGGTTTCTCAAGTGGATCACATGATAATAATCATTGTCATTTATACATTACATTTTAATTCCTATTTTTCCATCATGTTTGTATTCAATCTCAATCAATTACAATTGACAACCATTCTCATCCCAATAAATCAAAGTAGTGAAACATTGTCACTGATCTGTCATTTAACTCGACACATGGAATATCCTATTTATTATATACTTTTTGTGTAGATGTCTTCCGGAAAATTACATTATTTCATTACAAATGTAAAATTTTGATACGTAAATTCTCCCTACCTAACACACAGGGACGGTTCACCGACCCTTGTATTTGCGACTTAAGAAGTAGTTTCGTGTTTGCGAAATCTTAACAAAATATAGACAAAAGTATAAAACAAATATTTACGGTCACGAAAATTCCTTATCATACATTTGATATGATTATGTACAAAATCAACTTGAACAAATATATTTTTGAAAACAACGCTGTTGGAAGCGAAAGAATACACTCTGGTCAAGTAACAAAAATGGCGCTTTGCGAAACGAACAGTCTCGATTGACGAGTTAAATGGGAAATTTACTGTTTATACGGGAACAGTTTCAAGAGAATAACAAACGGCGAGAAGTGATATTACCTCCAAAGAGGGACAATTTAAGGGGAGGTAACTCTGGTATGATAATAGTTCTGTCAAAGTATTATGTTCACTGCAGTGAAATATCAAGTAATATGTTCACTGCAATGAAATATCATTTTTCGCAACTTCGGAAAACCCAGTCTTTCACACTGAAGTATATAATAAATTTTAATTCCTACTTTTTCAGTTGAAACATTGAAGTGAAGAATCCACATGCCGATTAGGTTATCATTGTTGTATTCAGTCTCAATCAATTACAATTGACATCTATTCTTATCCCAATGAATCAAAGTAGCGAAACATTGTCACTGATCTGTCATAGCATCCTGCGAGTGATGAATGATTCGCTTGACATATTCAGCTGAATGAGATATGAATGACGTTTATGCTTCACGAATTGTTCATGAAAACCGTCCTAGTTGTCACACAGCGAACTTCAGATGTCGAGATCGGTGCATTGTCTTCCTGACACACACATGTACTTCCCAACCTCCAATCAAACTTATTCAGCTTGGGGATGTTATAAACGTAGTGTTTCCAATGTCAAGATTTGACTTCCGTTCACCCTGTGACATATGTGTCATGTATTATTTTTGCGTGTCGTGTTTAACATAGACTAACATTTAGTCTCTGAAATCTTATATAACACAATATCCTTCTTGACTCTAAAAATAAAATTAAAATCCCTATGCTGATGTGGACTAGAGCTAGCTTGAGCTGGCTAGACTTGCTTTTGTATGCATTTCCAGATTTATTTTTTTCATAAAATAAATATATTCCACGGTCATGGTGCAGGACTATATTTAACACTCTATAAAGGAACATAATCAAAGATATATTTATATGTTATATACAACGTATGTTCTCTACGTTTGTCCATTAATAACCACCCTTACATATATCAATGTAAAACGTCAATGAGGTTCTACTACACCAAATCAGTACCAGCCTTCAGTACAGATCGAGAGATATCTGCAGGCTGTGATTGGAGGATATTCTGTAAGATTTTTATGTCTTTCAAATGTACATCCATCCAGTTAGTAAAACTGACCATGTTTTTCTATATTCAGTACTGTCTTTTTCAACATGATGACTTATGCTGAATGTGACCACAGCTATTTTCAAGTAGGTGACATTTGGTGCGAAACTGGGGGTGTTGTGTTTAGCTTCCGGTACTCGGAAAAGGAGCTGACTAAGCTAGTCATTTTTTATTTTTTTTATTGCTGCTCTAAGGCCAAACTGTGCACACACGTACAAGTAATGGCTGTTGAATGCTTAGTTATTTAAAAAAAAATATAACGTTACTATAGAAGTCTATGGGAAAACATTTGGTTGTGTGTAACCATGAAAGGGAATAAGTTATAACACCCGGTGTTCGCGAAAAGGGTAAACACATCCTGCTCTCCCGATAGCACCCCTAACTCCCACAATAAGCATAAAAATAAGTGCGTGTTTGTTACAAAAATATTAGAAGACAATCAATAGTCACACATCAGTGAGTATGTAGCTTTGATATTGGAGCCAGAGGGACAGGGGACGAAAAGAACGGGATATATTTCTGTTTCAAATTCTACAAAAGGAGGAAATTGTTCGCTGGACATGGCTCCTGTCCAGGAACGGATATGTGTTGTAAGAAATTCAAAACTGTTCTATCCTCTTTAAAGAAAACAAGTCTTTGACTGTAACAAAAATCCTATATATCAAAGGGGTACTTTGTATCCTGGTTAGCCATCCATTCTCATTCATGGTCTAGATATTGTGACCAGCCTTAGATTGAAATGCAAACTGACGGACAATAGGAATTCTACACCAATGTTTGATGGTAGCTATGAAAGAAAGGAAGGAATGGTTATTCAATGGTTATAGGTGTATCATAGTTGTGTTTTGTACCTTAAGTTAACAGTCTGTCGGGGACAGTCTTTCACCCAGTAACCTTTTGATAACGTTTGTTCAAGTGTATACTTTCTTTTGCGCAGCACTTTATGTCATTGTTTTCTGGAAGTCTGGGACTGTCACTTTGATGCAGTTTAAGACCCCTTTTAAAGTTAATAGAATGTATATAACTTGTGCCGTTTTTTCTTAGATTATGTTTATGTTAATCATTTATTTATCTCTTCGTGAAGATCCGGGTTAGAACTGGTCTTCAGCAACCCATACTTGTCGTAAGAGGCAACTAACGGGGTCGGGTGGTCAGGCTCGCTGACTTGGTTGATACATGTCATCGTATCCCAAATGCGTGGATCAATGCTTATGATGTCAAGACTCAGATGTAAGGTCAAGACTCGATTTTAAACAGACCGCCGTCATATAGCTGGAATATTGCCTTAGACGGCGTTAAGAGCAAACAAACAAACATTCATTTATATTTGAACCCATCAACATTATGATTTGGTGCACACTTACCTATGATGTTCCGGGAAGCAAGAACTGTAACAAAAGAAATACAGATTAAGCCAACATGCTCCAAAAATATTTTCCTTTTTAAAAAGAAAATTATAGTTGTATCAAGAAGCGTTCATCTGTCTCCGTTTATCCTGAGGCGTAAACATCTGACACACGAACAAACACATGTGATCGTTATTTGAAGATTGATATTCAACTCAAAGAAATATTGACATATTGCATTTTCATAAATGTGGCATGTGAATGAGTGAGTGAGTGAGTATAGTTTTACGCCGCTTTTAGCAATATTCCAGCAATATCACGGCGGGGGACACCAGAAATGGGCTTCACACATTGTACCCATGTTGGGAATCGAACCCGGGTCTTCGGCGTGACGAGCGAACGCTTTAAACACTAGGAAACCCGACCGCCCGGCATGTGAATGAAAATACTGGCATTGCTTGTGTCTCTGTGCCTGTGCCTGTGTGTGTGTGTGCGTGTGTGCACCTGTGCGTGCGTGTGTGTGCGTGTGTCTGTGCCTGTGTCTGAGTGTGCGTGTGTGCACCTGTGTGTGTGTGTGTCTGTGCCTGTGTGTGTGTGTGTGCGTGTGTGTATGTGCGTGCGTGCGTTTGTGCGTGCGTGTGTGTGTGCCTGTGTCTGAGTGTGCGTGTGTGTGTGCGTGTGTGTATGTGTGTACTTCAAGCCGCCCAGCCCTTGTACATGCGTCTTCCATCTTGTTAGGCTTTTGAGATTATGCGGCCGGGTATCGAACCACTGAACTGCCGCTCTCAGAGAAGACGCTCTGTCCACAATACTACGGGTAGTCGGTCCAATCCTTAAGAATCTACATCAGCCTTTTATGCTGATATAAGTTTATTGCCGCCATCCCTATTGCCAATAGTTCCAAGGTAGTGTGTATAGTTCCGGAATAAAATCCAGGAACGTTGGATCCCAACATATGCCTCATGATACATTGATGCACGCACTATTTTTCTGTCAATGTTTAAAAAATATTCAGGATTAGGTCACTGCATTCCTTCAAACGTCACGCAGAATAGCACTGCCCGCATAGGTGCAATGTGTTCGGCCTATTTGTAGTGCCGCCCGGTTGGGACATGGATAGAAGGATTCCAAAAGTTTCTTAAAAATAATACTCACTCACACATTTTAGAAGACATGAGTATCAGTCAGTTGCTGGTTAAAGTTCATCAGTGTTTTAAACATATACTATATAAACTGCACATATACATAGAGACACCCTAGTGTAAAGTTTGTGACGCACTTATAACCAAGTCAGTTCAAATCCTTAAAATAAAAATAAAAAGAAGACCGAATTTCAGATACGACGATAGCACCTTAGTGAGTTATATTGAATCAAAAATAATCTGATTCGGGATTCTTTGTGAGATATACACTTATTCTTTTCCAGTAAATAGCATATTTCAACAACGGTACAAGATTCACATCATTTAGGTACTTATTTGATTCTATTCGACGGGATTATCGAACGAGGTGTGATATTGCTGAAATATTTCAAAAAGCCACTAAATACCCAACTCACTTACTCATTCAAAAGAATAAAATATATAATACGATAAATAGATAAAAGTATTACAATCTTACCGAAGAGAACTGTAGACACGAATAACGCCCTCATCTTGTTCAAGCCTTTCTGCGCTTATCGAAAATTGATATGGAGAGAGGACACAACCTTGTCTAACACAGCCGTCCCGCGGCAGCAAATATCACGACTGAGCAACACAGGTGAGCAGCAAGGCTCTTGTCTCAGTTTTAAGTTCTAAGTTGATGGATTATCTAACATCATGACAGCTACCTTAAGCGCACTGTGAGGTAAAGGGGGAGGGGGAGGGGGAGGGGGAGGGGCTTCGTAATTACGTTGACAGATTGCCGACAATATCCCTGTATGAAAAGTACAGAGAATGAGGTCATTCTGAAGTGTACGGATTAAGACGCGGTTGTGTCAGTCAGCTGAATTAATGGCAGTTAGAGATTCCACTTCACAATACGCATAACTGTCTTTTATACTGTTCGTGTCATTGCGACATAAAAAGAGGAGCTTTTCTATTTCAAAAGACACAAACTCGATATACTTTCATTTACTTTTACCACAGTTTACTTTATGGAATGCATTGAGAGAATGGGAAACTCATGCTTTGATTTCTGAATACATTGAGAATAAAACATCGACGTATTCAAAACTGATGAATAAATCACTACCTATCAAATGATTGACAATGCACACCAGAGTACCCAAATGTAATCAACATTAATTATTTAATTATATTCTCGGCAAAAGAACAGTTAGACAGATACATTTTCTGAAGTTTAAAGTTTAAAAAAGGAATTTTTTAAGATATAACACAGCTTTGTGGCTACATCTAAACATTTATATTGTTCATATACTATTCAGTAGTTGATAGTGTCAGTGAACTGTGACGTCGCTTGTGGCCGAAATGATGCCGATGCGACTTTAAAAATATTTACTCGCTCACTGGTTTATTTCAGACTGTTTACGTCAGTGAGACAGCATTGTTTTATTTTTAGTAATAGTCCCGTAATATGACGGCGTGGGACACCAGGAATGGGATTCACACATTGTACCCATGTGGGGAATCGAACCCGAGTCTTCGGCGTGACGAGCGAACGTTTTAACCACCTGGCTACCCCACCTCCAGATTGGTTACGTTTGCAGATTAGTAAGGTGAAACATTTAATAATAGGGATGTCCCTGTCATAAGTACCTGACGTTACTTTCAACACTCAAAAACCATCATGTATCATAAGGAATCGGCCATATGGCATTAGTGGCTGGTAGTTGAGATTTGCTTGAAAAGTATAAGTTGTTCAATGTGCCTTAGATCGTAGGTTCGAATCCTAGATTTGTCCAGCGTTGATTTCTAGGTTTGTCAGCTTCATACTCATACTCGTTCCACCAAAGTGGTAAATGTCTGAAACCTGCATTACTTCGGACTTTTCTCCCAAGCAGCCATTTAACTGAGAAAGAGTTCACAGTGTTCAAAATTCACTCACTCACGTATTGAAATAGAAAGGATATCACTTTAAGTTAGTGAAATGGAAGACATCCCGTTTAACACTTTCACAAACAGTACCATTTATCACAGAGTTCAACCATATGATATATTATTCATAAATACATGTTAAATGCTGAATGGTGTGCACAAAGAAAGCTTTGACACAATGTTTGCATCTTTGAGTGAGTGAGTGAGTATGGTTTTACGCCGCTTTTAGCAATATTCTAGCAATATCACGGCGGTGGACACCAGAAATGGGCTTCACACATTGTACCCATGTTGGGAATCGAACCCGGGTCTTCGGCGTGACGAGCGAACGCTTTAACCACTGGTCTACCCGACCGCCCCTTGCATCTTTGACACCGTTGTACTTCGTTGGTATTACACTACGTCAACGCCGTGACCTTTATACAGAAGTTCTCGACAGGCACCACTGTCATCTGAAGGTCACATCGGACGCCTTAGTGTACAGTTAAGTGCTTGAATAGGAATTCTGACCCATTAACCTGGCTATGCTTCATTATGTTAACTCCAGAATAAGCCTATCAAACAAGTCACGTCTTTATTTGGCAAGAGTGAGTGAGTGAGTTGGGTTTAACGTCGCTTTTAACAGTATTACAGTTATATCACGCCGTGTCAGCTTAATGTGGGAGGAAAGCCCGAAGTGATGCAGGTCTCAGACGTTTACCACTTCGATGAAACCCACGAGCACGGGTATGGTGCTGACAAACCTGGGAACATAATCGGGGCGAACCGGTATTCGAACCCACAATCATAGGTTTCTGGCGTGCCCAAGGGACGCAACTCTACACAACGAATCGCGGCGCCTTAGACGACTGGGCCACCCGTGCCCCCTGATCGTCATGAATGTAAATAGGCATTATATTAGCCATATAGCGACTCAAGGCGATCAATTTTTAAAAAAAATTATACATGTACATGTGCGATGGCTCATGGCAATTTATGTAATACCTTTTATGTTCTGTTTGCTCTGAAATTATTATATTTATTATGATTACATTTATTATTCATTTATTATATTCAAAATTGTATTTTTTTAAATTAAAGTTTCGCACAGGAAAGAGTTATTAGAATGATGCATGTACAACCCATCATTCTCCCAACTCAAGGAAGTAGTCGTAATTAGTTGCCAGAACCCGTCAAATTGTGAAACTTGCTCTGTCAGGTGTGTGTAGAGGGGTGGGGAGTGTATAAATGGTATTTCCCCCATTTACACATTCAACATCAACACATATGTCAACATGTTTAAAGCCTAAACGTCAAAATATGGTCCAAGGAAGGAGCATGGGTTTGTGTTAAGGATCAAAACACATTTTTAAATGTATAACTTATTTCCTGGCGTAATCTGACAGTTCGATAAAACAGCCATGGCATCCTGGCTAAAATAACTTGTCCTCAGGTTAAATACAAAATTATGATTATAACTACACGGAAAAAAAAATATCGGTTAATATGTCAGCAAGTGAAAAAACAAACGTGAAACCGTTCATATTTTTGTGAGGAAGAAATCCGTCACATACAATACTGCAGTCAGCAAAAATGATATATTATATTCTTTGATGTCAGTTGGCTTACGGACAAACCTCAATTGTGTAACACGAAACGGGTAACCATGATATATGCAACTGAATGTTCAAACGGAGAAATTAGTAAGATAAATTAATGTCAATAGCTAAGACGATCCACAACCACTGTTAGAAATCCCTTGCCTCGGGCGATGTGAGCTGCACATGTTAAAGAATGTTCTATTCTTGATAGAAGGCTGTGTTAATGAAGATATAAGATTTAACACATCAACTGCTCGCGGCATCTCTCACCATCGTGTCTAGATGTTAGCCCCGGGCTATTTACAAGGTTCGTGTGCACAGTACACTGGCTCAGCTTGTGAGGAAAGCTAGTAGTCATATATTTCACAGATAGTCCTTGACAGACACTTGACATGTGGCGATTGTCAAACCCGAGGATTTCTCTGTGGTTACCTTTTGGGGCAATTGTTGTCAGAGAGCCTGACGTGGCATATTGGAAGGTGACTAAACTAAAGATTGATCGATTTGTGTTTATGGGTGGGGATGACGTCAGTTGGGTCTTTCTATTTGCCGCTTGATTTAATCCCTGTGTACGAAAAACAACAACGTATTCCCATTATGCGTGTTGGTGCAACAACGAAACGTTTTACTGACGGGTGTTATTCTATGGACCTATATAACGTTTTATAGGTCCGTAGTTATTCAAAGCATTGTTAAATGGATCATGGTAACTAATCACTAAAATTAATTTCTGAAACACTGATGTTTGCATCTCCTCTTTGGGAACATTTGAAAATATAGATTGAGGTTAATCAAAGCATTGTTAAATGGATCATGTAGTGTTAACTAAGGACCTGACTAATATTGATGTCTTGTTCATATAACACTGACGTTTGCATCTCCTCTTTGGGAACTTTTGAAAATATAGATTGAGGTTATTCAAAGCATTGTTTCATGTAGTGTTAACTAAGGACCTGACTAATATTGATTTCTTGTTCACATAACACTGACGTTTGCATCTCTTCTTGGGAACTTTTGAAAATTTAGATTGAGGTTATTCAAAGCATTGTTAAGTGGATTATGTAGTTTTAACTAAGGACCTGACTAATATTCATTTCTTGTTCATATAACACTGACGTTTGCATCTCCTCTTTGGGAACTTTTGAAAATATAGATTGAGGTTATTCAAAGCATTGTTAAATGGATTATGTAGTGTTAACTAAGGACCTGACTAATATTGATTTCTTGTTCGCATAACACTGACGCTTGCATCTCTTCTTGGGAACTTTTGAACATTGAGATTGTTGATTAAAGTTGCCATGCGCTGGATCCAATTTTGCTAAATGGGGCAGGGTGGGTGTGTTGAGGGTGATGGTGTGTTGGTTTTTGGGGGTTGTTGTTGGACGAGATGGGGGTCATTTGGACCTTGGGGTGACGATTTAGGGGAGTGAGGGTATGGGCTGAAAATGTGCACGTATGCCTCACATCACATTAAATGTTCAGTCAGTAAGGATACCACTAATGATAATATACATATTAAAAATTGACATAACAGGCATCGTCGTATGCACTGAATACATTCGTGTTCTTAAATTATTATTGATAGTACGATCGAAATATAACGAAATTTAATATATATATATATATATATGTTTCCTTAAGTCATGAATGTCATATAATGTGATACCTGGCGATAAATAATTCACACGATTGTATGCATTCTTTTAGACGCTGCTATTAAAACCGCGCTATGCCGTACAATATACCGCATGGGAAGGCAAGTCACAATGGTAATGTGTTAACTGAATTCATCTAACTCATGCACAGGCTGATTTGATATAATGATAGAATGTCCACACACATGTACTTGGATGGGTTTTGTAAATGTTCCAGAATTTCCGTATAACCTTCCAGGAATAAAATATGTTGTGAAACATATGTTAGGCTCCATCTTACAGTCCAATAATATGTAATAGGCTTTGTCAATATCCAGGAATACGTACACAATAACTGCCTGATTAGCAACGCCCGTTTGAGGTTCAGGCTGCAGCTTAGCATGTTGGTCTAAAACCAGATAAGTCAGGATAGTAACCGAAGTGATAGCTCCTCCTGTTTGACATATATACGTCCCAGAAAGATAAAAGGCTTGTTCCTATCTGAATTAAAATATTACAC